CGGCACCAGCAGCGGCCAAGCACATTTTCGCACCGAAAGCGTGGGCGTGCGCTTCAGCAACCGTGGACCTGGATGCTGTACGTCGAGCACTGCAGGAGGACCCCTTCGCGCAAGCAAAGATGGCAGAGGTGCAAAGGGGCACGGCGGAGGACGACGAGTTCCAGATACGCGACGGATTGCTCATCCGCAGAGGGGCCCTCTACGTACCGGGAGACGACCTCCGCGCGAAAGTACTGCAGCAGTTGCACGACGCACCCACCGCCGGGCACTTTGGCAAAGAGAAGACGGTAGAATTAGTAGCCAGAGATTTTGGTGGCCCAAGATGCGGGGAAGTCGCGGATTACGTCTCGAGGTGCGACACCTGCCAAAGGGCCAAGTCAGTGCACAAACCGCCGGCGGGACTGCTCGAACCGCTGCAGACACCGCTCGAACCGTGGGAGAGGGTGGCCCTGGACTTTGTCACGGATCTACCCAGCTCGAGGGGCAAGACGGCAGTGCTAGTGGTGGTGGACATGTTCACCAAAATGGCCCACTTCATTCCGTGTGCGAAGGTGGCCACGGCGGAACAGACCGCCAAACTGTTCATAGACCACGTGTTCAAGGTTCACGGTCTGCCACGGTCTATCCTGTCCGACCGGGGGCGACAGTTCATCTCGAACTTCTGGCAGAAGCTGATGGGTTTCCTGAACGTCAAGATCAACCTAGCGTCGGCGAGACACCCGCAGACGAACGGACAAGCGGAGCGAGTCAACGCCATCATGCAGCAGTACCTGCGATGCTACGCAAATCAGCAGCCGGCAACATGGGTGGACTACCTGCCGCTCGCTGAGTTCGCCTACAACAACACGAAGCACGTGTCCACGGGGGTGACACCGTTCTTCGCCAACAACGGGAGGCATCCCAGAACCTTCCCGGGATTAGCGAGAGCGGGGGAGGGGAAGCCACAGGCAGCGGAAGCCTTAGCATCAGAGTTGCAGGAGGTTCACGAACAGCTCGGAGGCAGTTAGAACTAGCAAAGCACGCATACAAACTGCAGGCTGACAAGCACAGAAGGGTTGGGGAAGACATACAGGTGGGAGACTGGGTTTGGTTAGCAGCCCAGGCAGTGCCGGCCAGATCGTTAGCGAAGAAGAAGCTAGGGCATAAGCAGCTAGGACCCTACCAAGTCGAGGCACAGGTCAATCCAGTGGCCTTCCGGTTGACACTGCCGGAGGGATCCAGAATGCACCCAGTTTTCCATAGATCAGTGCTCACGCCCTACAAAGCACCTCATAGATTTCAGGAGCCAGGAACGGCACCAGACCCGTTCAGGGAAACGCCCACAAGGGGGTCGCCAAGGCGGGAACCCGTCAACGAAGTCACAGAGATTTTAGACTCGAGATGGGGGAGGAGGGAGTGGAATACCTCCTCGCCAAGGAAGGTACCCGGCTAGCGCCAACAGTTGGGTGCCAGATTATGCTCTGGAGGAATCTTGGCTTAAGGACGAGTTCCATGCACTTTTCCCACACAGGCCCATGCCAGCCGAGTATTTCGACGACTGGCTTTTCACACCCACATTTTCAGCTAGCACATTCCAGGGGTTCACCTCGGACGAGGAACCGGCACTAGAAACACGTTCCCCGGAGGGATCACCCTCGGGGTCTGCCTCAGACCGTTCCTATTGGTGGGACAATCAACCAGAGGAGCAGTGGCGCAGGAAGTGGTTGGGGGGTCCTTGGCAGGCAACGTCCCCGGAGGAGACCGGGGAGAGACGGACATGGACGTGTTGGGGGAGGACCTTGGGTTCGAGCACGGCGGCAAAGAGATGGAAGCAGAGGAAATTGAGGTCGGCGAGAGCACGGAGGACGAGCCGGACTTATCCGGCTGGATGCACGCCACGGGGACGAACTGTATCCGGCACTCACCCCCACAACGACGGAGCACCCAGTACCCACACCTGAAGGAGGGGAGGGGGAAGGGGGGCTTCGAGGGGGATGGATGTCAGGGGTTCAGGAGCAGAGGCACAGGAAAGGGAGGAAATAGAGAGCGAGGGGAGGAGTCCGAAGGAAATGTTAGCGATGACAGCGGTCCGAGGTCTCTGAGTCTTTCCAGCGAATCGGAAGATTCACAGAAAGGGGCTCCCTTGGTCAGAGCAAGGGGGTGCCGAGGGGACACCCCAGGAAGAAGGGGCCAGAGGGGACTCAGAGAGCAGCAGTTGGAAATCAGGACCAGCGTCCACACCAGAGTGCAGTAGGGGGGAGGAGTCCCAGGCATCGGGATCAGGCGGCGCACTGCCAGTGGGAGGACATGAGTCAGGATTGGCCACGCCTCCATCGGAGAGCGAGGAAACGGTCGAGAGGAAGGTTGAAGGCTGGGCGCGCGCGCCAAGTTCAAATGTACAGGAGGGCGGCGCAGTTGGCAGCCCGGATAGGGAGCCAGGTCCCAAAGCCCGCCGAAAAGAGGGGGAGGAGTCAGGGGGGTCAGCGTCAGAAGAATCAAGGAAGGAAGGGACCCCGGGGGGTAGCAGGACCCAGAGGAGAAAGGAGAGACGTAAGAGGTGGAGTAAGGCTAGAATCTTAAACTGGTGTAAAGTGGGCGGAGACTCAGATGGAGCTTCGCCGATCTAACCCCTAGACGTAGAGCTGGGGCGCTCCGGCTTGAAAATGGAAACTGTACTTCAATAAAGACTTTTGTACATTACTGCCGGCTAGCGTTGGTCCTCTGTGAGCTGGGACCTGGAGCCAGCTCTGACAATCGTGCAAGAGAGTGTATTCAGAAAGGACTCATTCAGGTGTCCTACATGGCAGGTAATGAAATTCCTGCTGATCTGTTGTCTAAGGTTGTTAACAGAGAACAACTTAAGGTTTATGTACAGAGGTTGCAATTGGGTTGAACCACAGGTACTACAGGTTACACGGAAAGGGGGAGGATGTTAGGATATTTCCGTTCCACCTTAAAAGGGAGCAGGCTTTGTGAGTCACAGAGTCTGCGTATTTCCTGTTCACAGGAAGTTTATGTTTTGTCTTTGCTTTCGTTCTCTCTCTGTGTCAGAGACACTGAAGCAGGCAGTCATGTTTTCTTTGTTCTGATCAACGCTGAATAAACTTGTAAATAATGCTCTCCTGAGTGCATCTTTCGCTGTGCATTATCTGCTGATAGAGCGTGCATCAGCTCTGGAATGTGGCAAGCTATTTCTGGAGCTCGTGTCGCTAATTGCTGATACTGTGTGTCTACGGGAGATCGATGGACGTCCGGAGACGACGTGGAGTCATGATGGACTTTGTCTCCCTGGCAGTATCCCAACACTTGGATGTTTCCTGTAATTTCCTTCCATTCTCTGGACCAGACCTGGGACTCCTGCGCACTTGGAAGCTGCGTGTTACTCTGCCACAAAGGGGCCAAGTGCTATGGGCGCAGGCTGGTCCCACCTCATAACCACAACAGGTTTTGGTTATGGGGGTTTTCCCCATGGTTTGTGGGTGATTGAAGAGGCTCCCTTTAACCTTTTGAGATGATTCCTCCAATGGTTGTTTAAGTCCAGTTTAGAAGCTGGGTGTTCCAGTCCAGGCACAGGAACCTGTTAGGATCGTCCTACGCTCGTGTAGGCATGCCCGACTGGCATGTTATCTCCCTCCTGGTTGATCGGGAGCTTCAAAAGCTTACTCCAACCAGAACATCACAGCGACTGATGCCTTGGAGACATCAGCACACTCAGGGATGCGTAACAAACTCAGAAGCACAGCATTCTGGCTAATCTACATTTATTTACATATAATATACTCAGGACATTCTGCTGTAGCTCCTTCCTCTTTCTATCAGACAGCAAAAAGAGAAAGAACAAAGGACAATAGCCCTACTTCACAGAACACAGTAATACCAAAACATCCTGTCTCCGCCACTTCCCACACTGTGGAATGAAAACATACACCATCATGTGATAGACAACAATCCCATGACTGCAGGCACAGGGAATGAATCACCAACAGAACCGTGATCTGCCAGACTCATCTTTGGCAGGAGCAAAGCCCAGCGTCATGGCCCGTCTTTGGACCAATGATCCATCCTTTCAGGAACTTCTGAAATGTTTTATTTTTATTTCACATGGTTGTTTTGACGACTGTGCTATAGGCTTGAAATTTTTCACTATGAAACATAAACAATTGTGCATATCTATTAATTCATTTTAAACATTACGGGATTGTGTGTTTTATTCAATGGCGCAGGACCTGGGAGATAAGGCAAAAACATAAAACTGAACAATAGCATCACACGAAGTTAAAAACTAGTTAAAAGCCAACATTACAATCAAACAAAACAAAAACTAGCATCGAAAGACGCTTGTAAGGGGTGTCCTCTAAATGGTCTGGCTAAATAATAATAATAATAATAATAATAATAAATTATTTATACCCCGCCCATCTGGCTGGGTTTCCCCAGCCACTCTGGGCGGCTTCCAACTGAATATTAAAAACAATACAGCATCAGACATGATAAACTTCCCTAAAGAGGGCTGCCTTCAGTAGTCTTTTAAAAGTAAAATAGTTGTTTATTGCCTTGACATCTGCTGGGAGCCCGTTCCACAGGGCAGGCGCCACTACTGAGAAGGCCCTCGGTGTTTCCTTCCGTGTATCATATGTGTGCAGATGAGAACTGGCTTTGGCTGAAGCAAACAAACTGCTTACTGCTGTTCACAACATGTAATACACAGAGAACTCTTTCTCCCTCATGGATGCAATTCTTTGCTCCTGGCATGCGCTAAGGACTTTGAAGAATCAAAGAGAAGACTAGTGAGAGATTCCTCGACCTCACCTTCCCACAAAGAAAAGTCTGAATTCAACACCTTGGCCGTTGACTTCCACCTTGCAGATCTGGATACATAGTATGAATAATATGGGACACCAGGTTTGCACTCCATGGATTTGAGAGGCAAGGCTGACTTCTCTGCTGCGTTGAAGAAGCACAAGAACACTTTTGTGATACAAATTAAAGTCTCCTAAAATACAATCACAACACAGCAATTGCTATGGTTTCTCCCCACAGTGAGTTCTTTGATGGGAAGAGAGAGTGCAGCTGTGACGGAAGCACTTTCCACATTCCAGGCACTGATAGGGTGTCTCCCCTGTATGAATTATTTGATGGGAAATGAGAGTCTTACTGTGACGGAAACTCTTTCCACATTCCAAGCACTGATACGGTTTCTCTCCTGTATGAACTCTTTGATGATAAGAGAGATGGCTACTGTGGCTGAAGGTCTTTCCACATTCCAAGCACTGATAGGGTTTCTCCCCTGTATGACTTCTTTGATGGGAAGTGAGATGACCATTCAGACGGAAACTCTTTCCACATTCCAAGCATTGATACGGTTTCTCCCCTGTATGAACTCTTTGATGGGAAGTGAGATGTGAACTTTGACTAAAGCTCTTTCCACATTCCAAGCACTGATAGGGTTTCTCCCCTGTATGAATTCTTTGATGAGAAGTGAGATCTGAACTCTTTCTGAAAGTCTTCCCACATTGCAAGCACCGAAAAGGTTTATCCCCTGTATGAATTCTTTGATGGGAAGAAAGACTAGCTTTGTGACTGAAGCTCTTTCCACATTCTAAGCACTGATAAGGCTTCTCCCCTGTATGATTTCTTTGATGGTAAGTGAGATGAATGCTCTGAGTGAAGTTTTTTCCACATTCCAAGCACTGATACAGTTTCCCCCCCGTATGACTTCTTTGATGGGAAGTGAGATGACGATTCAAACGGAAGCTCTCTCCACATTCCAAGCACTGATAGGTTTTCTCCCCTGTATGAATTCTTTGATGGGAAGTGAGATGTGCACTTTGACTGAAGCTCTTTCCACATTCTAAGCACTGATAGGGTTTCTCCCCTGTATGAATTCTTTGATGAGACGTGAGAGAAGTGCTCCGACTGAAGCTCTTTCCACATTCCAAGCACTCAAAAGGCTTCTCCCCTGTATGAATTCTTTGATGGGAAGTGAGAGAGCAACTCTGACTGAAGGTCTTTCCACATTCCAAGCACTGATAGGGTTTCTCCCCTGTATGACTTCTTTGATGGGAAGTGAGATGACCACTCAGGTGGAAACTCTTTCCACATTCCAAGCACTTATAAGGTTTCTCCCCTGTATGTATTCTCTGATGGGAAGTGAGATGTATGCTCTCAATGAAGTTTTTTCCACATTCCAAGCACTGATGGGGTTTATTCGTGATGGGATTTATTTGATGAGAAGTGGTCTGGGAGCTCTGAATAAAGTTATCTTGACAATCTGAGTATTTATATGGCTTCTCTACGGTGTGGATTCTTTCTTGGTCCCCCTTGTTATTAATTTCCATTTCATCACCCCCTGCAATGAAAAAAAAAATTATTTTTTAAATATTAGTATGTTATTGAAAGATAAGGAAATTATATGCTAAGAGGACTTCCTGTTTCCGGCGGTGGGAAATGGCTGACTCCCACAAGATTGGACCCCAGCTGTGCCGATAATTCAGGGCTGATATGGGGTTAATTAGCCGTGGCAGCCTCCCCAGGGTAGGGGAGAACTGTCTCAAAGACCCATGGATTGTCCGAGATTGCCAGGGTGCACTAAGGTGCAGCCAACAGGACACGGGGTCAAAGAGCACGGTCACAGCTGGCACTCTCCGATGTCACTCCTATAGCCAGACACATCTGTTTGGGAATTAAAATAGATTTGAAAAACACATGGTCTGAATGGAAAAAGCCGGGGGGGGGGGGACGACACCTGCTGAATGTACAGTCTCTGGTGTATAAGCTCGGACTTCAAAGAGATCCTCATCATGGTGTGTGGATTGCGAAGGTGATTGATATGCTCTTTTTCTCCTTTCTTAAGATCAACAATTGGTTTTTCATGTCAAGCCTCATTTAGAACTTAAATTGCTTCTAAAAAAAAATGAGTGCAGAAGGACTTTTATTTACAATTCGGACTCATGAGCAGCTTCTTTTTTTTAAGACTTGAAATGTTTGTTAAAGAGGAGAACAAAGGATTAAAATGGCGCTCCCCTATTACGCAGTTACGGAAAATTTGAAATCCCTCCCTGATTAAGAGAAACAGGAATTACCGTAATTGTTGGCTGACTACAACGGTTTGAGACAATATTTTGGATAATATACAGTGCAGCTGTTTGCAAAAGATTTTTTCCATTATGAACGAGAGAAAAGGCTAAATGGATGTCTAGCAGCCCCCCTCTAGGGCCCGGAGGGGGGACTGGGTGGCTTCCAGGAAGGCTGATCGATCACCAAACGACTGATATATTGCAATACAGCAAACAGTCTGCTTCAGAACAACTCAATAAGGTGCAAGATACTGCATTTACAAATCTTAAAAGGAAGGTTTTGACAACAGCTGGACGGGAAAGATTAATGATTTGGGAGCTGCCAAGATAATAAACTTCAGAGAGCTGAACAAAAGCCCGGAATGGATGGAGCAAGATGAAGTGGCGCAAGTAAAAAAAACCAACAGTTGAAAGGGTACATTACACAAACAAATCTGCACTCGACGGACGAAAGGTTATCTGTTTTCTGACATGATTGAGGATCGCAGAGCCAGAGACAAAGAAGGTTGGAGAGATAAAATCGAGATATGGAAATATTGATGAGATGCACGACTGAGATTTGGATATGCTTCGAGGTTCAGACTGTGGGAAGTCTTAAAATCAAAATTACAATTTGGAAGACAAATTGATCTTTTTTATTTTTATTGGATTATGATTTGATATGTTGATTGGATGTTTTTTATTGGAAAATTAATAAATGCTCTAACAAAAAAAGAAATTATATAAGAGAAAGAAATAAAAAGAGAAAATAATTTTTAAAGAGGGAGAAATGGTGGAAAAATGCAGTGTAATAGACTAAGTACCGTATTTTTCGGCCTATAGGACGCACTTTTTCCCCTCCAAAAATGAAGGGGAAATTTGTGTGCGTCCTATGCGGCGAATGCAGGCTTTCGCTGAAGCTTGGCGCGCGCGCGGGGTCGGGCCGCCCCGACCCCTCTCGCTCTCCAAGCTTCCGGAAGCTATCAGCAAGCCTGGGGAGCCCGCAGGAGTTCCCGCAGGGCTCCCTAGGCTGCGGAAAGCAGCCTGCTGCACGGAGCGCGGGGTGCGCTGAAGCAGAGCGCCCTGCGCTTTGGGCAGATGTCCACAGCCTAGGGAGCCCTGCGGAAGTTCCCACAGGGCTGCGGAAAGCAGCCTGCTGCACAGAGCGCGGGGCACGCTGAAGCAGAGCGCCCCGCGCTTTGGGCAGATATCCGCAGCCTAGGGAGCCCTGCGGAAGTTCCCACAGGGCTCCCTAGGCTGCGGAAAGCAGCCTGCTGCACGGAGTGCGGGGCCCGCTGAAGCAGAGCGCCCTGCGCTTCGGGCAGATATCCACAGCAGAAGTTCCCGCAGGGCTCCCTAGGCTGCGGATATCTGCGGATAGCAGCCTGCTGCCCGGAGCGCGGGGCGCGCTGAAGCCGCGGCTGGGGGGGGGGAATAATTTTTTTCCCCTTTATTCCCCCCCCCCAAAAAACTAGGTGTGTCCTATGGGCCGGTGCGTCCTATAGGGCGAAAAATACGATAGGTTATTATATTCTATAGGCTATAATAAGTTATTATATAGGTACTGAGTAGTATTGTTACATTAATACAGTATATATAGATAGACTAATTAGAGCCTCAGGAAGAACAACCATTCACAACTGTTCATTCTTCAACATTGCTAATGAACAACTGTGAAAGAGGAATAACTGAAGGGAATTACATGGGAATTCTTACTATGGAGTTCACTGCCTTTGTTGGCTTGTATTAGCTGAAATATACAAAAAACAATCTGACAGAAGCTATTTCAACCTCCCTACCCACTCTGACGGATATTCACAGACAACACCGCCATTCCAAGTGATTTCTGGGGGCGTTAGATTTCCAGGTGGTGTAGGTAGCGCTATTGAGTTCCAGCCAAACCTTGCAGATTCATCGCAAGGAGAGAGATGGAATTTCAAAACAGATATGATGATCCTCAGAGAGCCTTACCCAGAGAATCCAGGAGTCCACGATTCTCCTCCATGACCTCCTCAAGCAGAGTTCTCTGGTCAGGATCCAGCAACGCCAACTCCTTGTCCGTGAAATGAATAGCAACATCCTCAAAGCACACCAGACCCTAAAAGAAAAGGGGAAATGTCCTTCTCTTAGACACCATAAAGATGATCTACCACACATTGCTCTGTTGTTTTCTACCTGTTAATTGCTGTGTTGTTTAAATGGGATTATTTTGCTCCACATGGTATGAATGCTTATTTTAACATCTTGCTGGAATTACTTTATTATTTTAATGATGGGTCCTAATCTTTGTGTAAATGGGTGGAACTCCACATTTTTTTTCTTCCAAGCATTCTGGCTGCCCCACCCCTTGGCCTCTCTCCCTACAAGTCTCATGCCCCCTACCTGATCTGCTTCTATAGCCGCTGCTTCCCCTTCTCCACCATGAAAAGACGCACGAGGTCTTGCTGGCATCATCCGGTCACCTGCCAGAGACAAAGGGAAGTGGGAAGCCATGAATGCCTGCTTCTCTCTGAGGTTCAGGAGTGCATCTCTAATTACAGGTGGACTTTTGAAGAAGTCTACCCTACTGAGACATTTGTACAACTTTAATATTTTAGTTGTGTAAAAATACATCTCTGCTCCTTTGAGTTCTTGGCCCCAACAGCCTCCACTGGTGGAGGACAAGAGGGCAGGGGAGTGGACCGCCCCCAACACCACCATGCCAGTGGGGTGCCATCGCGGCCACTTCCGGACATGCGCCATGCACCCCCCCCCACGCCGGGTGCCACGCCCCCAGGATGCGCACCAGCCATGCCCCCACCTGCTCTCCACCCCCCTTCCTGAGACAGCAGCTCCGCTGCAGACAGCAGAAAAGAACCAACAGATTACGGTAGTTTATAAATCCCCACAATGTGACCAAAGAGAGAAATAACTCCCTCCTTACCTAGTGGTCTCTCCCTGGTGTCCATCGGAGTCCTCTCTGGACCCATTTCTGCCATCAGATTCATTCCCTGAAAGAGCAACAGAGATTCAAAAGAGAGAAGGATTAGAAAATGATTTTGCAGAGCTAAACACTTTACCAGATCTCATTCCTTGGATCCTATCCATAAAGGGATCGGACATCGGTAATGCATTTTGGGATACTCTCCCTCTGCTTTGGAGCCCCTTTTGAAAACCCAGAGGAAAATATATCTCACCTGCTGCTCGGCCTCCTCTCTCTCCTCTGCCTGACTAAGGAGGAAACCTTCGGCCAGGGCCACTGCCTGGGAACTGGTCTCTGCTCCACATTCCCTCACCCAGCTCTCCATCTCTGGTGGAAGGACAGCCAGGAACTGCTCCAAGATCACCAGGTCCAGCATCTCAGCTTTTGTGTTCTTTTCTGGCTTCAGCCACTGACAGCCAAGGTGGTAGAGTCGGCTGCAAACCTCTCGGGGTCCTTCAGCCTCCTGACAGCAGAACTGCCTGAGCTGCTGGCAATGCACATCTGAGTGGAGGGTGTCCTCCTCACCCAGGATCTTCCCCACAGAGTTTTCCCATAATTCCCCACTGCTCCCATCTTCAATGGCATGGCCTCTTCCTGCTTTAGGTCCAGCCGAGTCTTGCTCATCCATCTGTGCTTTCAGGAAGCTTCCAAGAGATTAGAAGGAGTCCCTTTTTTCTTCTGCAAAGTTCTGCTTATCCAAATTAGAGTGCTGGCAAACCCTACAAAGCAAATGCATTGTTTTGTTATAAAATTGGCACTCTGTCAGGATCAGAAAAATGTCCCCAGACTTTTGGGTGTCTGGGGTGACTTTTGCTAGCAGTCAAGGCTGCACTGCACTAAAGCCCAGACTCTGAACTTACTGTGATTGTAAGTTGTTTTAATAAAGACTCCAGAAAAACAATAACACACCATCAGAATTTTTCTCAATCTGGCTGGTCTAAACATAAATATAAGCAGAAGTTTTTATCTCCAAAAGGGAAAAAAACACACACCATCAGAATTTGGCTCAATCTGGCTGGTCTAAATATAAATTTAAGCATAGTAATAGTATTATTATTACTACTTAGAGCCAATGTGGTGTAGTGGTTAAGAGCGGTGGACTCGTAATCTGGTGAACCGGGTTCGCGTCTCCGCTCCTCCACATGCAGCTGCTGTGTGACCTTGGGCTAGTCACACTTCTTTGAAGTCTCTCAACCCCACTCACCTCACAGAGTTTTTGTTGTGGGGGAGGAAGGGAAAGGAGAATGTTAGCCGCTTTGAGACTCCTTCGGGTAGTGATAAAGCGGGATATCAAATCCAAACTCTCTACTACTACTACCACTACCACTACTACTATGCCGCCCATCTGACTGGGTTGCCTCAGCGGCTTCCAATAAGATGAACATCAAACACAGTAAGTCATCAAACATTAACAACTTTTCTTTATCAATAGAGCAATTATTCTCCTCCCTTTGAATCCCCCCTCCTCCGAATTCATCAATAGACCAAGACTTTATGTTGTTTCATTGGTAGCAGAAGAGGAAAAATGACTCTTACTCACACTTAATCTAAGCACAACCGCAAGGGCTCCTGACTAGGCATTTGACTATGGGATGTGAACTGCTAATCTGTTAATTCTTCTCTATCCTGTTCCAGCCAATTCACAAACCCGGAACTCACTACAGTGGCCACTAATAATTAAACGTATGTCGCAGATATCCCTGCACATTTATTACAATATTTTGTGATATACAAACGACGGGAGAGGATTTACAATCGGAGAACTATTGAATGGGAAAGGACCCTGCAGACCATATAGTCCAGTCCCCTGCGATGAAGAAATCTTCACCCAGCTTGGGCACATACCCATGACCAAGAAACACCCTCCCCTTTCAAGGACAGAAGGGGGGTGGATTTAGCTCTGGGGGACCTCCCCCCCTTCTGTCCTCCCTTCTCTAGGAATCCAGCTTAGTTCCTTTTAAACCTTGGGTGACAGAGCGCACCCAGTTCCTCCTTTTATGGAGAGCAGGAGCCCACAGAGAGAGGCTTTCTTCTGGGGAGGGTGGGACCCCCTTGGCAGGCAGAGAGGAGCAGCAGCTTGAACAGAGAGGAAGGGGGGAATGCTCCCTGCCTTGGGGGTCTTCCTCTCTTGAGTATCCTCCCCCTGCAGCCCTGGGACCCCCCTTCTCCCCCGGGCGCCCCAAGGGGAAAGAGAGAGAAGACTCACTGGATCCCAGGAGGGGCCACCGAGGCAGCCTTGGCAGAGGACGGAGGAGGAGGGGCTTCCGCTCTGGAGGACCGGGGACCCCCGCCCCCTCTTCCTGGCCTCTCTAGGATTCCAGCTCGGCTCCTGTTAACCCTTGGCGAGCCGAGCGCACAGAGGGCAGAGGAGAATCCGAGGAGCTGCGCATGCTCCCTGCGGGCGACCCAGGGCCTTCTCTCGCGGACGCCTCAGAGCGCGAAGCGCGGAAAGGGGGAGGCGGAGGGAGGGCGGGGCAAGGACCCGTGACGAAACAGCCCTGGCCCCGCCCCTCCGCCGGGAAGGCGGTGGCTGCTCTGAGGGAAACGGCTTTTCCCGCCTTTTCCCAACTTCCCGCCTTCCCGCACCTGACCTTCCCCTCAGTTTTAGGCGCCAAGGAGGCCGATTCCTGGCAGACCAGGTGGCAGTTTCCCTGGGCTCCCTCGTTTATCGGGGGATTTCTTTTCATTCTGCGTAATTTCTGTTTATATCTCTTGCTTTTGGAGCTTCTATCTGCTTTTTTAGAAAGGCATTTTGCTTTATTAAAAATACCCTTTCACCACCGCTTTGCCTGCATTCCATCCAGTATTTAAATCCATTTATTCAAACTGATTTATAAATATTCCTTTATAGTGCCACCCTCTTCCTTCTCTCTCCTCCACTGTCACTGAGGAGAATGGAAGAGGCTCATCTGCTTCAGGCATTGCACTGTCTGTTTGTGAGAGAGAAAACTGGGGTGCAAGAAGGGCCCAAGGATCCTGTAGTGGCCACAGCTGAAGCCATCCACCATGGACTTGAAGCCCTGCAGGTAGTCTTTGTCCCACTTTTGGATGTGGGGCTCCTCCTCTGCGAACATGGCCACAAACTTCCCTCGGTCGTCAGCAAAATAGAGGAGCTCCTGCCAGTCAAAGAAGTACCTGTACAGGTAGTAAACTAATCTGGTACAGGATGTGTTGTGTGGGGGGCAGGGCAACAAATCCAACTCAATGGTGTAACGTTGGAAAATGTCAACCACTTATAAACATCATCTCCAACTCCTCGAAAGATTCCAACGGTGTCTCTGAAAAATCTTACGCATCACTTGGGAAGACAGGTGAACTAAAATCAGTGTACTGGAAGAAGCAAAGATCACCAGTGTTGAAGCAATGATTCTTCAACATCAACTTTCGTTGGACTGGTCATGTTGTTTGGATGCCTGATTATCGTCTTCCAAAGCAACTACTCTATTCCAAACTGAAAAATTTAAAGTGTAATGCTGGTGGTCAACAAAAGAGGTTTAAAGACTCTCTCAAGGCAAACCTTAAAAATGTAGCATAAACACCGACAACTGGGAAACACTGGCCTGCAAGCGCTCCAATTGGAGAACAGCCTTGACCAAAGGTGTCATGGGCTTTGAAGACACTCAAACTCAGGACACAAGGGAGAAACGTGCTAAGAGGAAGAGACGCTGGGCAAATCCACACTGTGATCAACTCCTGCCTGGGAACCAATATCCCCACTGTTTTTAAAACTTGGCAAAGGAGATTCAGGAGTCTGAGAAAAATAAGATAGTTGAAGTAAGGAGGCATGAGTAGGGAACAGAGGCTATAATGCAGTCATTGGAGGTGAGGTTGGTGGAGATCCAATGGTGGGGCCTTATCATTGATGACTCCTTATATTTGAAATGGTCTCCTGAGGTAGGTAGGCATGCCAGATTCTGACTTTTTTCAGCTCCAGGTAAAAACTTTTATTTTTTAAGATACTGTTTTAAATACTTTGTTCAGGTTTTGATCATACTTTTAGAAGACATCTGAAGGCAGCCCTGTTTAGGGAAGTTTTTAATGTTTAATGCTGGATGTTGTTTTTAATATTGGAAGCTGCCCAGAGTGGCTGGGAAAACCCAGCCAGATGGGCAAGTAAAAATAATAAATTATTATTAAAAATATCTAGACTTTAAAGAGGTTGAAAACCTCTTTAAAATGTATAAAATATTGCTTAAGTGGAAAATGAAAGAAGAGCTAGTGAAATCATCTATGATAAATTGGCCAATGGATGTGGGTGAGAATATTGATTTAAATTTGTGGAAGCAATTGGGGGGGGGGATCAAATTCACTGCCAGCTATGCTATTTTTTTTAAAAAAACACAAGTTCATGGTTAGCCCATTCTACAAAAAAAGCATGATTATTATTATTATTATTACAGTGGTGCCTCGCAAGACGAAATTAATCCGTTCCGCGAGTCTCTTCGTCTTGCGGTTTTTTTGTCTTGCAAAGCACGGCTATTAGCGGCTTAACGGCTTAGCGGCTATTAACGGCTTAGCGGCTTTAGGAAAAAGGAAACAAACTTGCAAGAACTCGCAAGACGTTTCGTCTTGTGAAGCAAGCCCATAGGGAAATTCGTCTTGCGAGGCATTCGTCTTGCGAGGCACCACTTTATATGATACATGTGTTAGTTGTGGTTTGCATGCTATGGCCTATTGAACCTACCAAGGTACAAAATGACAAAAAATCACTTTGAATGGTTGGTGACGTTTTTCTGTCCATTTTTATACCTTATTTTAAAAGAGAAAAAAATTGCTTTATTTTGATACCAAAGTAAGCCCAATTAGTTGAAAAATAAGCATAACAAGAGCTTTTTTCTAAACTGATGCAGAAATTGCATTAGCCTAAATCGCATGAGGGGATGCGGGTGGCGCTGTTGTTTAAACCACTGAGGCTAGGGCTTCCTGATCAGAAGGTCGGAGGTTCGAATCCCCGCGATGGGGTGTGCTCCCGTTGCTCAGTCCCAGCTCCTGCCAACCTAGCAGTTCGAAAGCACATCAAAAGTGCAAGTAGATAAATAGGTACCGCTCCGGTGGGAAGGTAAACGGCGTTTCCGTGCGCTGCTCTGGTTCGCCAGAAGCGGCTTAGTCATGCTGGCCACACGACCTGGAAAAACTGTCTGCAGACAAACGCCGGCTCCCAGTAAAGTGAGATGAACGCCACAATCCGAGTCGTCTGCGACTGGACTTAACTGTCAGGGGTCCTTTACCTTTTTTACCTTTTTTAAATGGCATGAAAATAGGAATTTTCAAAAATTTATCCTGCACCGAATTTTGAACCAAAAAAATCTTAAAACATTATTTTGAGATTATCTCATAGATATCTCATGGCACCAGATGATTTGGCGTGGAATGACCCCAACAGACTAGCCAAAATGTTTAGATATAAAAGTGAAACCATACTGGCCCGAATATAAACTACACCTTTAAAATTTGGGACGGAGGAGAAAAAAAATGGCAATACCCGAATATAAGTCACTCACTTAAAATTCTGCACGCACTCACACCCATAAATGGCAAATATAGAAGAAAAGCCTACGGGTCTAATTCCCTGCACTCCCGGGCTTCTTCCTGGAGGGGGGGAGCCGCACCACGTTGCCGGTGGCCTCCCCCCCTTTCATTTTGATAGCTAAGGAGAGGCTTGGAAGGAGTGGGCAGGGTGCCTGCCGTTGCCTTGCGCTCCTGGGCTGCTTTCTGGAGGGGGGAGCCAGGCCCCTTTGACAGCAGCCTTCACTCTTTTTTTCAGCGGTTCGCGGGAGGTTTGGGAGCCACAGTTGGGACAGGCGTTGTTGTCACACACCTCCAATGGCTCTCCTAGGCCGCTGTTTCAACAGTGATATCTTAAGGCAGTGGTCCTCAACCTTCCTAATGCCACGACCCTTTAATACAGTTCCTCATGTTGTGACCCCCAACCATAAAATTATTTTCGTTGATACTTCATAACTGTAATTTTGCTACTGTTATGAATCGTAATGTAAATATCTGATATGCAGGATGTATTTTCATTATTACAAATTGAACATAATTAAAGCATAGTGATTAATCGCAAAAACAATATGTAATTATATATTGTGAAATACTTATTTCTAATTACAAATAAATGAAATTTTGTCTTGAAGCATGGTGTAGCATGAGTAACAGTCTTAATATAACAACAGTAAACTACATTGCTACATTTTGTAACAGTATTTGTAAAAAGCCAACATCAGTGTATAGGTTGAGATAGCTTCTTTCTCACCAGATCATAAATTCTCAGGGCAGTCTTTGCAAGAGCACAACGAAGATCATCTTCCACAACAAGTCTACTTCTGTAGACTTGATAACCAACAAGCTGGAAAACCCTGTTTCACAAAGATATGTTGTTGGAAACGGAAGAAGGCGCAACACAGTCTCAAACAGAGCAGGATGTGACTGCAAAAACTCGATCCAGAATTTTGTAACTGGCATTGAAGAGAAATCAGTTCTCACTGCATCGCTGTTAATAACTTCAACGAACTCCTCTTCTGCTGTCTCAGGAACATCTTCAACTTTGAATGGGCTTCTGGTAAGTGCAAATGGGATGTCAGGTAGATAGAATCATAGAATAGAATCATAGAATCATAGAGTTGGAAGAGACCACAAGGGCCATCGAGTCCAACCCCCTGCCAAGCAGGAAACACCATCAGAGCACTCCTGGCATATGGTTGTCAAGCCTCTGCTTAAAGACCTCCAAAGAAGGAGACTCCACCACACTCCTTGGTAGCAAATTCCACTGTCAAACAGCTCTTACTGTCAGGAAGTTCTTCCTAATGTTTAGGTGGAATCTTCTTTCTTGTAGTTTGGATCCATTGCTCCGTGTCTGCTTCTCTGGAGCAGCAGAAAACAACCTTTCTCCCTCCTCTATGTGACATCCTTTTATATATTTGAACATGGCTATCATATCACCCCTTAACCTCCTCTTCTCCAGGCTAAACATGCCCAGCTCCCTTAGCCATTCCTCATAAGGCATCGTTTCCAGGCCTTTGACCATTTTGGTTGCCCTCCTCTGGACACGTTCCAGTTTGTCAGTGTCCTTCTTGAACTGTGGTGCCCAGAAGTGGACACAGTACTCCAGGTGAGGTCTGACCAGAGCAGAATACAGTGGCACTATTACTTCCCTTGATCTAGATACTATACTCCTATTGATGCAGCCCAGAATTGCATTGGCTTTTTAAGCTGCCGCGTCACACTGTTGGCTCATGTCAAGTTTGTGGTCAACCAAGACTCCTAGATCCTTTTCACATGTGCTGCTCTCAAGCCAGGTGTCACCCATCTTGTATTTGTGCCTCTCATTTTTTTGCCCAAGTGCAATACTTTACATTTCTCCCTGTTAAAATTCATCTTGTTTGTTTTTGCCCAGTTCTCTAATCTGTCAAGGTCGTTTTGAAGTGTGATCCTGTCCTCTGGGGTGTTAGCCACCCCTCCCAGTTTGGTGTCATCTGCAAATTTGATCAGGATGCCCTTGAGTCCATCATCCAAGTCGTTGATAAAGATGTTGAATAAGACCGGGCCCAAGACAGAACCCTGTGGCACCCCACTAGTCACTCTTCTCCAGGATGAAGAGGAACTGTTGATGAGCACCCTTTGGGTTCGGTCAGTCAGCCAGTTACAAATCCACTGAGTGGTAGCATAGTCAAGACCGCATTTTACCAGCTTCTTTACAAGAATATCATGGGGCACCTTGTCAAATGCCTTGCTGAAATCAAGGTAGGCTACATCCACTGCGTTCCCTTCATCTACCAGGCTTGTAATTCTGTCAAAAACGAGATCAGGTTAGTCTGACATGACTTATTTTTCAGAAATCCATGCTGACTATTGGTGATCACAGCATTCCTTTCTAGGTGCTCACAGACTGTTTGCTTAATGATCTGCTCCAGAATCTTCCCTGGTATTGATGTCAGACTGACTGGGCGGTAATTATTTGGGTCCTCTCTTTCCCCCTTTTTGAAAATAGGGACAACATTTGCCCTCCTCCAGTCTGCCGGGACTTCTCGCTGAGTTTGACATCCAACAAATATATGGGTAATTGAAGTCCCCCATTACTACTATCTCCCTTCCTTTTGCATGCTTGGCCATCTGTTCCAGGAAGGCATCATCTATGTCCTCCGTTTGGCTTGGGGATCTATAGTAAACTCCCACAATGAGGTCACTGTTATTCTTCTCTCCCTTAATTTTGACCCAAATGCTCTCACTTTGGCTTTGAGGTTCTAAATCTTGGATCTCTTCACAGGTATACACATCCCTGACATATAACGCCACTCCTCCTCCTTTCTTGCCTGGTCTGTTTCTCTGAAATAGATTGTATCCCTCCATTATTACATTCCAATCGTGGGACTTATCCCACCAGGTTTCAGTGATGCCTATTATGTCATATTTAGTTTGCTGTACCAAGAGCTCAAGCTCATCTTGTTTATTTCCCATGCTTTGCGCATTAGTGTACAGACATTGAAGTCCATTAATCATTCCCCCGTGTCTCTTATTTAAGGATTTTTTCCTCCCACCACTAGGTCTGCGTGCTGTTTGCTCCATTTGGTCTATGACATTTGGATGATCATCTTCATCAACTGATAGACTCCTACCTTCAGGAGCACTGTCTCCCTCCCCCACATTAGTCAGTTTAAAGCCCTCCTGATGAGGTTTCTGAGATTTTTGGCAAAAACATTTCTCCCAACCGTTATGAGGTGCAGCCCATCGCTTGCCAGAAGTCCATCTTCAAGAAACTGCAGTCCATGATCTAAGAATCCAAACCATTCCTGTTTACACCATTTGCGAAGCCAGCTGTTCACTTCCACTATTTTCCCCTCTCTCCCTGGGCCACGTCGTTCAATTTCCTGCCCAGAGCCTTGTAGTCTCTTTTGATCTTCTGGAGGCTATTGCTTGCAGTGTCATTGGTTCCCACATGAACCAAGAGGAAGGGGTATTTGTCAGTAGGTTTTATGATTCCTTGCAGTCGTTCAGTTACATCTTGGATCTTAGCCCCGGGGAGACAGCACGCTTCCCGAGACATCTTGTCAGGCCCACAGATCACTGCTTCTGTTCCCCTCAGTAGGGAATCCCCTATCACCACTACACGCCTCCTCTTAGGTTTGGTCGGGGTTCTTCCGTGAGCTGTCCGTTCCAAGGTCGCCTGCACATTCCCTGAGAACTGACTTTGCTGCTCGTCTTCATATACCTGATCGACTGTAATGAGGAGAGATCCTCAAATGGAGTCTGCTCTTCGTCTTCCATGCTAGGGGAGAGGACCTCAAAGCGATTGTGTATTTCTAAACAATCAGAGCGAACCCTGGGCCTCCTACTTCTTTGAGTCACGTTTCTCCATATATCTGGCTCCTGTGTTGGTGAACTAGCCTCCTTCTCAGGGGAGTCCCCTGTCTCCTCCTTGGTGGAGACGGTGTGCTCTGTTGCTTCCAAGAAGAGCTCCAGCTCTCTAATTCTTTGGAGCGTAGCTACACGTTCCTCCAGTTGCTGGACTTTGTCTTTTAACAGGGCAATCAACATGCAATTGCTGCAGGTAAAGCTGCCTGCAACCTTTGGCAAGATGGCAAACATTGCGCAGGAACCGCAGGCGACTGCAGCTGTTCCCTCCATCTTGAGAACGTGTCGTTGGGGGTGGCTACAGCGGTCCTCCATCATAAAAAGCGTGAAGACAGGACAAATAACTCCCCCCACAAAAAAACCCTAGGTCTCCCCCAACAAACGTTTGAGACTAGCTCCCCTAAATCTAAAAGATGGATCAAACTGCCACTGTTCTGCAAGCTCTGATAAGCTCCTCCCACAGCTAATCACCTGCCTCAACAGAAACCCTGCCCCCTCTGACCTTTGCACAGGGAGAGCAGCTAATCAGCCACAAAGAAACACACACACACACAAAAGAAAACCCTTTTTGCTCCTTCTTCAACTGCTGCCCTGCAAGCTCTGATAAGCTCCTCCCACAGCTAATCACCTGCCTCAACAGAAACCCTGCCCCCTCTGACCTTTGCACAGGGAGAGCAGCTAATCAGCCACAAAGAAACACACACACACACACACACACACACACAAAAACCCTTTTTGCTCCTTCTTCAACTGCTGCCCTGGGAAGTACGATGAAATTTCGTCTGCAAACATGTGCAAGTGTTCTTTCGCAGAAATCCTTTTGTCTGGTTCAATGTCATGTTCCTCAAAGAAAGCAGATAAAGTAAGCAACATGTAAATTTTATTTTCATCCAATTTTTTTTGCCAAAGCTGAAGTTTCATTTGGAATGATCAGATCTTTTCAGACAAATCGAGGCATGTTGCATTTGGTCCTTGCAGTGATAAATTTAACTCATTCAAGATGGCAAAGATGGCAACCAAGTAAGCTATTTTCTGCAGTTCACTTTTATTGCTGAAAAGTGCTTTGAACGGCAGTCTTGCTTTCTGATTAAAAAAAGTTTTGAGTTCATCACGAAGCTCAAAAACACGTTTTAAAACTTTTCCTCTCGACAACCATCTCACTTCAGTGTGAAATAGCAGAGCATTGTTTGGCGCATCCAACTCGTTGCACAGTTGTGAGAACAGTTGACTGTTTAAAGTGCTCGCCTTTTCAAAATTGGCAGAACTTATGACACTTTTCATTACTTCTTGTAATTCTTGTGGCAGCGTCTTCATTGCTAATATTTGCCGATGAATCATACAGTGAGTTCCGATGACTTTTGGTGACTCATTCAGTACCAAACGTTGAAATCCAGATCGACATCCTAGCATAGCTGGAGCACCATCTGTATAAACACCACAAACCTTTTCCCAAGACATCTTATGCTCTTTCAGAAACGAACCATCAGTGTCAAATATATCACATGCAGTAGTTGTCGTTTCAAGAGGTTTGCAAAAAAGAAACTCATCTTTAAAGTCACCATCATTAATATACCTCAAGTAAACCAGTAACTGTGAACAGTTTGCAATGTCTGTAGATTCATCAAGCTGGATACTAAATATTGGAAGTGGAGCAGATTTAATTTTCTGGATTACCTGATTAAGAATATCAGCAGACATGTCATCTATAATTTTGCAGATAGTGTCATTAGATAAGGAAATTGTACTCAATTTCATAACAAATTCATCTCCAGTCATAGCTCGAACAATGCCTTTGGCTGCTGGCAACAGTAAATCCTCAGCAATGGTGTGAAGTTTCATAGCTCTGGCGATTCTAAGTGCCACCAAATATGAAGCTTCAACGGCTGCTACGTTTTGTTTGTGCTACTTGCCACCAGTGGCAAGTCTGGACCGTGGAACTGAAAAGCTGTAACATTGTGATGTCTAACGTGTTTTTCATTGCAGGTCGAGAAGCCAAGCTGATGCAACGTGGCTGTTATGTTTATGTCAACAAACAGCGTGCGACCATCCAGAAGAACGAAAGTGACATTATAAATGGCTTGTTCTTACTATGTTGTAATGTATTGGTCTTCCAGATTGCTGATGTCTGACACGAAGATGGTCAGGTGTACCAGTGCTCAAGACAAAGGAAAAGGGGGAGGCAATATGGGTATCTTACAAAGGCACCCTATTGGTAATGGAGTTTCTGATGTGTGGATTCAGAAGCAACAGAGCGATACACTCGGCAAACGTAGTTTGTAAGGTCTTTCCCTGGATTCAAACAAGGTTTCTGATAGGGATTGTGACAAGGTAAACCCAAGATGTGCAAAGGGACCAGCGGATGGGTCTGACATGTGGGTAGAGATGTCATAAGGTAGGAAGCATAGATTCTTCCTTGGGTATGGAGATGGCTTGTACAAAGTACGAAGGCCTCATACCAAGCTGATTTTACTCACTAGGGATGTTCAGTGCAGTGCAAAATCGGAAGGAAATGTGTGTATTTTCCATGGTACCCCACTTCTAAATGCTCAGATATTGAGCCTACTGCTGTTGCTGAAAGTGAGGTGAGTCCCACTGATACAGTGAAGGACGTGTGCCTGATGTGCAGATCTGATACAGCTACCACCAGGTATGCTCAGGAGTTTGCCAACATAGCTTTTGCAGATTTAGCTGTGGCTAGTGGCTCGACACAGGTCTTGGAACCAGAAGTATTGAAAGGGGTATAGGGTTTGTCCTCAAAGGGTGGGAAACCACGCCCAAGGGCTGTAAGGGTGAAGACTGATTCCTCAGAGAGGAACAAGGCTAGGCTTCGAGTCCCAACAAAGCCAGGTGTGAAACTTATTGATAGTCAGGAGAGCTATGACACCAAGACTAGTCAGAAGAGCAAGATGGTAAGGCCCAAGGCTTATCCAGTTGCAGGTAGCTCCAAGGGTGGAACGGGGGATACAGGGGTATACTGTGTGTATGACATCTGCTCTGCTGCCCAGCTCTGCTGCCCAGGAGGACTCCCCTGTGTGAGTGTCTGAGGGCCCTGCTCTTGCCACTTACCATCTGGCCTGGGGCGGGGCCTGAAGCCTCAAAAGGACTGCTCTGCTGCCCAGGAGGACTCCCCTGGGTGAGTGCCTGAGGGCCCTGCTCTTGCCACTTACCATCTGGCCTGGGGCGGGGCCTGAAGCCTCAAAAGGACTGCTCTGCTGCCCAGGAGGACTCCCCTGGGTGAGTGCCTGTGGGCCCTGCTCTTGCCACTTACCATCTGGCCTGGGGCGGGGCCTGAAGCCTCAAAAGGACTGCTCTGCTGCCCAGGAGGACCCCCCATTGTGAGTGCCTGAGGGCCCTGCTCTTGCCACTTACCACCTGGCCCAGGGTGGGGCCTGAAGCCCCACAAGGACTGCTTGCTGCCTGCTGCCCAGGAAGACTCCCCTGAGTGAGTGCCTGAGGGCCCTGCTCTTGCCACTTACCATCTGGTCTGGGGCAGGGCCTGAAGCCTCACAAGGACTGCTTGCTGCCTGCTGCCCTGGAGGACTCCCCTGAGTGAGTGCCTGAGGGCCCTGCTCCTTCCTGCCACTTACCACCTGGCCCAGGGCAGGGTCTGAGAGGCCTCACAAGGACTGCTCCTGCCACCTACTATCTGGCCCAGGGTGGGGCCTCACAAGGACGGTTGTTGCCACTGATGCTGCTACTGCCCAGGAGGACCCGGAGGGGTGCAGAGTTCTTTTTAACATGTTTTAAAATCTTCCTTTCCCTTTAGATTTTTTATATATATTGGGGTGGGATGGATGTTTGGGTGGGCTTGGGAATTTGTTAGATTTTGTTGAATTTGTAATTTTTGCAGTTTTTATTTGTATTGTTTTATTGTTTTCTGGGTTGTTTTTGTTTTTATTGTTTTAAGGTTTTATTGTTTTAGGCTGCGAAAGAATAACATTAATTGCCATCAATGGAGGCTACTATGAGGCTTGGGATTGCTACCGTGGAGTGGCGAGGGAGGTATGGCGGTGGGGGCAGATGTTATAGGCGAAGGGGATCGAGATATGGATATGCTCGTACCCCTTCCAATCTGCGCCTCATCCCGAGGGACGAGGGTAGGGTGAGCAAGGATTACTCACCTCCGTCACTGGTGCTGTGCAATGCCAGGTCTATAGGCAACAAAACCGCCACCCTGCGAGATTTCTTTATCTCGCAGGGGGTCGACCTGGCTTGTGTGACGGAGACCTGGGTGCGCGAAGGGGCAACAGTTACCTTACGAGAGATGGCGCCCCCGGGTTTCTCCATCCTCCACCAGTCGCAGACTGTGGGCCGGGCGGGAGGGGTGGCATTATTAATCCGGGAAGATTGTCCTTTCAGGGCTCTACCATCGCCATCGATCCCCGGCATTGAATGTGTTGGCCTAGTGTGGGGCTCCGAGGAGAGCTTGGCTGTCTGGCTGGTGTACCAGCCACCTAGCGCACCAGCAGCCACCCTGTCAGGCCTATTGGAGGCGGTGGCCGGTTGGGCCTTGGAGTTCCCTAACCTATTGGTATTGGGGGACTTTAACATCCATGCTGATGCCACTCCCTCCTCACAGGCTCTGGACCTGGTGTCTTCCATGGTGACACTAGGGCTCTCCCAGTTTGTTTTGGGCCCCACACATCAAGCAGGCCACACGCTGGATTTGATCTTTGGCGTAGGTATAGATGTGATCATGTCTCCTTTGATGAAGGTGCCATGGTCTGATCACTACGCTCTTAAAGCCAGGACTGACTTTCCACCCCCACCCTGCTTAGGTGGCGAGCCGATTTGGGCTCGCCCGCAGAGGCTGATGGACCCTGATAGATTCCGTCAAGCCTTGCGGGACCTTGCTCCCCCTGGCGACTCATTGACTGAGCTTGTTGAGGGCTGGAATATCCAGCTCCTGGCAGCCATTGATGAGATCGCACCTAAGCGCCCTCTGCGACCCCGCAGAAACTGGGCTCCCTGGTTTACCGAGGAGCTCCGGAAAATGAAGCGGGACCTCAGACGGCTAGAGCAAGTATGGCGGGGTGCCCGTGACGGAGCCTCAAGAACATCTTGTAGGGCTTTTATGAAAACCTACGAGATGGCGGTGAAGGCTGCTAAGAAGTCTTACTTCTCGGCCTCCATTGCATCCGCTAGCTCTCGCCCAGCGCAATTATTTAGTATAATCAGGTCTTTAACGTCCCTTGAGGGACAGCCAAATTTAAATAACAATTTGACACACAGCTGTGAGGCATTTGCAAGCTTTTTTGCGGAGAAGGTCTTGTTGCTCCGCCATGACCTCCCTGCCAATTTGGATACAATAAAGGAACTGGAGGCCCCTCGACTGTCCTCGGGTCCAGTATTGGACTACTTCAACCGGATATCCCTAGCCGATGTGGACAGACTCCTCCGAGCTGGAAAGCCCACCACCTGTCCTCTCGACCCGTGCCCGTCTTGGCTGATTAGAGCGTGTCCAGACGAGGTGCGGGCCCTCCTGGGGGATATCATCAATTTGTCCCTTGGCACGGGGACATTCCCAGGGGCACTGAAGGAGGCAGTGGTGCGCCTGCTCTTAAAGAAAACATCATTAGATCCTTTAGATCTATCCAATTACCGCCCGGTTTCGAATCTTCCGTTCCTGGGTAAGGTGATTGAGAGAGCGGTTGCTGAACAGCTTGGTGGGTTTCTGGATGAAACGTCGGCTCTGGATCCATTCCAGTCCGGCTTCCGCACTGGTCATGGGACCGAGACAGCTTCGTAGACAGCTGGATCGAGGTGGGTCGGGGCTGCTGATTCTTCTAGATCTGTCAGCAGCTTTCGACATGGTTGATCACGAACTTCTGGACCACTGCCTTGCCGACGTGGGGATCCAGGGCACAGTCCTTCAATGGCTGCACTCGTTTCTCTCTGGTCGGGGACAGAGGGTGGCGCTTGGGGGGGAATTGTCATCGCGCCACTCCTTGGTGTGTGGAGTACCTCAGGGTGCGATACTCTCCCCGATGCTTTTCAACATCTTTATGCGCCCCCTCGCCCAGCTTGTCCAGAGTTTTGGGCTGGGTTGCCATCAGTATGCTGATGACACCCAACTCTATCTGTTAATGGATGGCCATCCTGACTCGGCCCCAGACACACTGACCAGATGTTTGGAAGCTGTGGCTGGATGGTTACGTGGGAGCCGGTTGAAGCTAAATCCTTCGAAGACAGAGGTCCTGTGGCTGGGACAGGACGATATGGGATTGGGGGAGCAACTCCCATCTCTTGCGGGGGCGCAATTAGTGCCAGCACCGTCCGTTAAGAGTTTGGGTGTAATCTTCGACACCTCCCTTTCCATGGAGGCGCAGATTGCAGCTACAACAAAGGTGGCATTTTTCCATCTCCGCCAAGCTAAGCAGTTGGCTCCTTACCTCTCTCGCCCTGACCTAGCCACTGTGATCCACGCGACGGTCACCTCCAGACTGGATTATTGTAACTCGCTCTACGTGGGGCTGCCCTTGAGACTGACCCAGAAGCTCCAGCGGGTGCAGAATGCTGCAGCGAGACTCCTTACGGGGTCTTCGCTGCAAGATCACATTCACCTGGTGCTATACCAGCTGCACTGGCTCCCGGTGGAGTACAGGATCAGGTTTAAGGTGCTGGTTTTAACCTTTAAAGCCCTATACGGCCTAGGACCCTTGTACCTACGGGACCGCCTCTCCTGGTATGCCCCACAGAGAAACTTCAAATAAAAACATCTTGAAGGTCCCAGGCCACAGAGAAGTTAGGCTGGCCTCAACTAGAGCCAGGGCTTTTTCGGACGTGGCTCCGATCTGGTGGAACACTCTGTCACAAGAGACCAGGGCCCTGCAGGACTTGACATCTTTCCGCAGGGCCTGCAAGACAGAGCTGTTCCACCAGGCCTTTGGCCAGGGCACAGCCTGACTCCCTCCCTCGGCAATCTTCGCGGAGCTCTGGCCCAATGGTTGCCAGTGGCTTGAATTAATTAATTTTATAACGAATGATTTTAGAGTGTTGTTTGTGCTGTACTTTTGTACTGTTTTATTGGTGTTAGCCGCCCTGAGCCCGGCTTCAGCTGGGGAGGGCGGGATATAAATAAAATTTATTACTATTATTATCTGTATGTTTGTTGCATTTACACTGATGACTACAACACGGTTCATGAATCAGGGGAGGATGTTGGGGATTCCTGCTCCGTGTCTGCAGTCATGGGATTGTTGTCTATCACATGACAGCGTATGTTTTCATTCCACAGTGTGGGAAGTGGCAGAGACAGGATGTTTTGGTATTACTGTATTCCGTGAAGTGGGACTATTGTCCCTTGTTCTTTGTCTTTGCTGTCTGATGAGAAAGAGGAAGGAGCTAAAGCAGAATGCTTCAAGTGTATTATATGTAAATAAATGTAGATTAGCCAAAATGCTGTGCTACTGAGGTCTGTTATGCAAACTGCGAAGACTCTGCAGATCCCTGAGTGTGCTGATGTCTCCAAGGCATCAGTCGCTGTGATGTTCGGGTTGGAGAAAGCTTTTGAAGCTCCCAAACGATCGACCAGGAGGGAGAGAACATGCCAGTTGGGCATGTGTCTCTGCCAGGGCCCTACACGAGAGTAGGATGCTCCTAACATTCACGAGGGATTTTATTTAGATTAAGCTTGAATTTTGCTATAAGAAGCTGATGATCTGAGCCACAGTCAGCTCCAGGTCTTGTTTTTGCTGACAGTATCGAGCTTCTCCATCTTTGGCTGCAGAGAATATAATCAATCTGATTTCAATGCTGCCCATCTGGTGATGTCCATGTGTAGAGCTGTCTCTTGTGTTGTTGGAAAAGTGTGTTTGTGATGACCAGCTTGTTCTCTTGACAGAACTCTATTAGCCTTTGCCCTGCTTCGTTTTGAACTGCAAGACCAAACTTGCCAGTTATTCCTTTAATTTCTTGACCTCCTACTTTCATAGTTAACGTATTTTCCAAGGTTACATTCAGGTGTTTACATAGTTATGAACGTTGTGTTTTTATTACACAATCATATAGTATACATTCCCATAGGACTTCAACAATGTTATACCATTGGAGAAGGGAATTATGGTGCCTTTAGTTAACGATGTCACTGAAACCTCATCTGTAACCACTTTCATTGCATTTATATCAGACTTCTCTAGTGCCACCCCCTTCCCCCTCTCTCTCCCAGGCGTTGCAAATGTGTCTGTCTGTGTGTGAGAGAGAAAAGTGGGGTGGAAGAACGGCCCAAGGCAGCTCGGTTCGGGGACAGCTCATGGGCCTTAGCTTGCCAACCTCTGGATGAATCCATTTTGAATTACTTTCTATGGGAAAGCACACCTTGCTTTTAGAACGCTTTGGTTTTGGAACAGACTTACGGAACAGATTAATTTTGGGATCTAAGGTACTACTCTTCTAACCAATAACAACAACCACAACAACAATAAACAGTTTACTTTTATACCCTAATTAAAGTAACCATCAACACCAACTAAAAACATTTAACCAACAGAAACCTGACAAAATCAAAACAGAGGAACCAAAATTAAATCCGTGTAAAACATTTCAGCCAGTTGCCCCAATCAAACAGCTGCTCCAGCAATGTCCCTCTGGCCGCCCAGGAGTCCTTTAATTGTTTGGGGTGAGTGTGGGCTCAGCCCTCAAAGTCAGGTGGAAATTGGTCTTGCAGCAGAAAGCGGTATTCTTTCCAGCACTCAGGGCAGCAGCAATGTTCTCCCATGTCTAGTTTCATACGAAAGGGGAACAAACCCAGAATAAAACATAAGATTGTTTTTGATATGAATGACAGAAGCACAATAACACTGCTGCAATACAAATTAAAATCTCCGAAAATAAAATTACTACACAGCAATTGCTATTGTTTGTCTCCACTGTGAGTTCTTTGATGGGAAGTGAGAGATGTGTTGTGACGGAAGCACCTTCCACATTCCAAGCACTGATAGGGTTTTGCCCCTGTATGAATTCTTTGATGGGAAGTGAGAGATGTGTTGTGACTGAAGCTCCTTCCACATTCCAAGCACTGATAGGGTTTCTCTCCTGTATGAATTCTTTGATGGGAAGTGAGACTACTCTTCTGATTGAAGCTCTTTCCACATTCCAAGCACTGATAGGGTTTCTCCCCTGTATGAATTCTTTGATGGGATGTGAGAGAGGCACTGTGACTGAAGCTTCTTCCACATTCCAGGCACTGATAGGGTTTCTCCCCTGTATGAATTCTTTGATGAGAAGTGAGAGATACGTTGTGACTGAAGTTCTTTCCACATTCCAAGCACTGATAGGGTTTCTCACCTTTATGAATTCTTTGATGGGAAGTGAGACTGCTCTTCTGATTGAAGGTCTTTCCGCATTCCAAGCACTGATAGGGTTTCTCCCCTGTATGAATTCGTTGATGGGAAGTGAGATGGCTACTGTGTCTGAAGTTCTTTCCACATTCCAAGCACTGATAGGGTTTCTCTCCTGTATGAATTCTTTGATGGGAAGTGAGATCTGAGCTCTTTCTGAAAGTCTTCCCACACTGCAAGCACTGAAAAGGTTTCTCCCCTGTATGAATTCTTTGATGGGAAGAAAGACTGGCTTTGTGACTGAAGCTCTTTCCACATTCTAAGCACTGATAGGGTTTATTCCCAATTGGATTTCTTTGATGAGGAGTGATCTGGGAGCTCTCACTAAAGTTCTTTTCACACTCCGAGTATTTATATGGCTTCTCTACGGTGTGGATTCCTTCTTGGTTCCCCTTGTTATTAATTTCCAATTCATCACCAACTGCAATAAAAAAATGAATTATTTTTTAAATCTTAATATTTTATTGAAATGAGTTTTGATTCATAAAGAAATAATATGATAAGAGAAAGGAATAAAAAGAGAAAAGAGTTATACTAATACAATCATACCTCGGGTTAAAGTAGCTTCAGGTTGAGCGTTTTCAGGTTGCGTTCCGCGGCGACCCGGAAGTCACGGAACGGGTTACTTCCGGGTTCTGCCACTCGTGCATGCGCAGACGCTCAAAATGAAGTCACGCGCATGTGCATAAGCAGTGTTGTGTTCTGTTCAGGATGCGAACGGGGCTCCGGAACAGATCCCGTTCGCATCCAGAGGTACCACTGTATATATATAGAGAGAAACTAATTAGAGCCTCAGGAAGAACAACCCTTCACAACTGTTCATTGTTGAACAGTGCTAATGAACGGTTGTGAAAGAGGAAGAACTGAAGGGAATTAGATGGGAGTTCTTACTATGGAGTTAACTGCCTTTGTTGGCTGGTATTAGCTGACATTATTATGAGAACCTGAGATTCAATTAATTTTGTTTGGTGCAATCATGGAATCTGCTCTGTATCCATTGTCAGTTATCTCTTTAGTCAACCAAAATCAACAGAAGCAAAAAGACAAATCTGGCAGAAGCTACTTAAACCTCCCTACCCACTCTGACGGATATTCATAGACAACACCGCCAATTGCCCTCCATTCCAAGTGATTTCTGGGGGCGTTAGATTTCCAGGTGGTGTAGGTAGCGCTACTGAGTTCCATCCAAACCTTGCAGATTCATTGCAAGGAGAGAGATATGGAATTTCAAAACAGATATGATGATCCTCAGAGAGCCTTACCCAGAGAATCCAGGAGTCCACGATTCTCCTCCATGACCTCCTCATGCAGAGCTCTCTGGTCAGGATCCAGCAACGCCCACTCCTTGCCCGTGAAATGAACAGCGACATCCTCAAAGCACACCAGACCCTTTAAAAAAAAGGAAAATGTCCTTCTCTTAGACATCATAAAGATGATCTACCACACGTTGCTCTGTTGTTTTCTACCTGTTAATTGTTATGTTGTTTAAATGGGATTGTTTTGCTCCATATGGTATGAATGCTTATTTTAACATCTCACTGGAATTACTTTATTATTTTAATGATGAGTTTTTGTGTAAATGGGTGCAACGCCACATTTTGTTCTTTCAAGAATTCTGGCTCCTTCACCCCTCAACCTCTCTCCCTATCTAATATATGAGAAAGTCAAAGTACATAAAGGCTTCCTAGGGCATATAGTCAGAAAGTCTATATCTAAAATATGGGAGAAAGACCTAGAACCGAAAACTCCTTGGTGGGCATAGCCGGCAGAAATTGTCGCAGTGAAAAAATTAAATATGAAAGAAAATTGGGCTACTTATAAAACTGTACTAAAGGAAGAAAATGGAGAATTGGAATTAAAGGATTATACAGAAATTAAAGCTCATATTAGTGATTGGTTCCAATATATTCAAATTAAGTATAGATTAGCAAAAGGCAAGAAGATAGGATTTGAAAAAGAAATATCAAAATTTGATAAATACTTAATACAAGAAAAAAAAATTTAAATTATATAATCTGATCTTAGAGTGGGAAACAAAGGATGAACTGGTTAAAGCATCCATGATTAAATGGGCGCAAGATATTGGGAAAATATTATGCTCAAACAATGGGAAAAATTGTGGAAAGAAGATATGAAATTTACTATGCGTTATATATTGAAAGAAAATTACCTTAAAATACAACATAGATGGTATTTAACACCTGAAAGAATAGCAAAAATGAATGAAAATTGTAACGATGTCTGCTGTCGGTGCAACACTGGAAAAGGTACTATGATGCATATATGGTGGAATTGTTTAAACATCAAACAATTTTGGGAAACAATATACAATGAAATGAAAAAAAATGTTCAGATATTAATTTAGGAAAACATCAGAAGGTTTTCTATTGGGAATAGTACCAGGAAGTCTAAAGGAAGAAGACAAGACATTATATTTATATGCAACAGTAGCCGCAAGGCTATTGATTGCGAAAAATTGGAAAAGTGGTATTATACCGACAGAGTGGCTTGCCAAATTATTGGAGTATTACAATATATCCAAAACAATGGAAGAAATTGGAAGGATCTCAAAACAGAAGATAGACAAGGACTGGAAAGTGTTTAAAGGAAACTTGCAAAACTATATGGAAAAATCAGAACTATTAGAATAAACAAGTTCCGTTATAAATACTGAAATAATAAGATGGACAACAATGTGTAACAGAAAAAGAAGCAGAAAATTGGTTTAAAAGTGTGTGAAAGAAGGTAATAGAAGTGGAAAGAAATTGCAGTTGAGTAGATTGGAAGTTCAACACAAGAGTGGGCTGAGGCGTAAGGGATGGTGGTGGGAAAAAGAAGTATCTGTGGGATTTTGTGTGGGTATGTATGAATATTTTTAAGGGCTGTATGAATATTTTTAAGGATTGTATGAAATGTATGTTTGTATATTCATAACGTGTGTATTAATGCTGAATTATTTTAACAATAAAAAATTATTTATTTATTTAAAAACCTCTCTCCCTACAAGTTTCCTGCCCCCTACCTGATCTGCTTCCATAGCTGCTGCTTCTCCTTCACTACCATGAAAAGTTGGATGAGGAGGTCTTGCTGGCATCATCCTGTCACCTGCCAGAGACAAAGGGAAGTGGGAAGCCATGAATGCCTACTTTTCTCCGACGTTCAGGAGTGCATCTCTAACTACAGATGGACCTGTGAAGAAGTCTACCCTACTGAGTGCCTTTTGACATTCATACACCTTTCATCTGTTAGTTGCGTAAAAATACATCTCTCCTCCTCTGGGCTCTTGGCCCCAACAGCCTCCCCACAAAAGAGGAAAAGAACCCAAGATTAATTTCCGAATCTGCAGGATGTGACCAAGGAGAGAAATAACTCCCTCCTTACCTAGTGGTCTCTCCCTGGTGTCCATCGGAGTCCTCTTTGCCTCAGAGGAATCAGGACCCATTTCTGTCAACAGATCTTTAACCTGAAAGAGCAACAAAGATTCAAACCATTAGAAAACAATGGCAGAGGCAAACACTTTAGGGCAGGTATAGGCAAACTCGGGCCCTCCAGATGTTTGGGACTACAATTCCCATCATCCCTAGCTAACAGGACCAATGGTCAGGGATGATGGGAATTGTAGTCCCAAACATCTGGAGGGCCCGAGTTTGCCTATGCCTGGTGAAACCACAGAGCCTAGGACATGCCGATCAGAAGGTCGGCGGTTCGAATCCCCACGACGGGGTGAGCTCCTGTTCCTTGGTCCCTAGGACTTGCTGATCAGAACGTCGGCAGTTCGAATCCCCGCGATGGGGTGAGCTCCCGTTGCTCGGTCCCTGCTCCTGCCAACCTAGCAGTTCGAAAGCACTGCGAAAGTAGATAAATAGGTACCGCTCTGGCGGGAAGGTAAATGAGGTTTCTGTGCGCTGCTCTGGTTCGCCAGAAGTGGCTTAGTCATGCTGGCCACATGACCCGGAAGCTGTACGCCGGCTCCCTCGGCCAATAAAGTGAGATGCGTGCCGCAACCCCAGAGTCGGCCACGACTGGACCTAATGGTCAGGGGTCCCTTTACCTTTACTTATCCTATCCATAAAGCAGTGGGACATTAGTACTGCATTTTGAGATACTCTATCTCTTGTTCAGAGCCCTTGGGAGTTTCCAGAGGAAGGACACACTCACCTGCTGCTCTGCCTGCTTCCTCTCCTCTGCCTGACTCAGGAGGAAACCTTCAGCGAGAGCCACTGCCTGGGAACTGGTCTCCGCTCCACATTCCCTCACCCAGCTCTCCATCTCTGGGGGAAGGACAGCCAGGAACTGCTCCAAGATCACCAGGTCCAGCATCTCAGCTTTTGTGTTCTTTTCTGGCTTCAGCCACTGACAGACAAGGTGGTAGAACCGGCTGCACACTTCTCGGGGTCCTTCAGCCTCCTGGTAGCAGAACTGCCTGAGCTGCTGGCAATTCACATCTGAGTGGAGGGTGTCCTCCTCACCCAGGATCTTCCCCACAGAGTTTTCCCAGAATCCCCTACTGCTCCCATCTTCAATGGCATGGCCTCTTCCTGCTTTAGGTCCAGCCGAGTCTTGCTCATCCATCTGTGCTTTCAGGAAGCTCCCAAGAGATTAGAAGGAGTCCCTTTTTTCTTCTGCAAAGTTCTGCTTGTCCAAATTAGAGGGGCTGGCAAACCCTACAAAGCAAATGCATTGTTCTGTTATAAAATTGGCACTCTGTCAGGATCAGAAAAATGTCCTTTCAGTAAACGTCGATGAGTTTTGCTAGGAATCAAGGCTGGATTCCACTAAAGCCGACTCTGAACTTATAAATGTGGTTGTAATGAAGTCATAGGAATAAGAGGAATAATAATAATAACAACAACAATCAGACCAGCTACAAAATCAAGCCTCAAGCGTGCAGAAAGATAAAACCTTGAGATACACACAGAGCCTTCAGAAAGGGGGTGGAGAAATTTAAAGTCTCTCCACCCCCCCCCCCGACAGCTTGAGATTTTGGTACAACTGAGCACACACACATTGCAGCATCATGAGGAAAAAATAAAGACTGCAGAAAACACACACACCATCAGCATTGTTCTCGAAGCTACTAACATGAGTTTGACCAAACTGTGGGAGGCAGTGGAAGATAGGAGTGCCTAGCGTGCTCTGGTCCAAGGGGTCACGAAGAGGCGGACACGACTAAACAACAACAATTATTCTTGCTACTACTACTACTACTATGCTGCCCATCTGACTGGGTTGCCCCAGCTACTCTGAGCAGCTTCCAACAAAATGAACATCAAAGACAGCAAGGCATCAAACATTAAAATTGTTTCTCCATCAACAGAGCAATTATACTCCTAGCTTTGAATATCATCCCCCAAGTTCATCAACAGACCAACACTATGTCTTGTTTCATTTACTTGAAAGAGAAGTTGTTGAATTACAACTTATTACTAAACTTAAAACTATGGAGAGACCTGGTCTGAATAGAGACATTGGATTCTTATGCTAAGCTATTTTTGGACATCTCACCCCTTGCTTTTTCCTGTAAGACCAATTGCAGTCATTAACAGTCCTCAACAGGTTTACCACACCTATCAGCCAATCACCCATTCCCACCACCCTTCTGAGAAATACCTCTCCCCACCCTCTCACTATATATAAGGCTCTGGTGACTTCTGTTTCAGTGTGTCTGAAGAAGTGTGCATGCACATGAAAGCTCATACCAATAACAAACTTAATTGGTCTCTAAGGTGCTACTGGAAGGAATTTTTTAAAATGTTGTCTCAACTATGGCAGACCAACACGGCTTCCTACCTGTTGTTTCATTGGTAGCAGAAGAGGAAAAATCTAAGCACAACCACAAGGGTTCCTGATTAGGCGTTTGACTATGGGATGTGGACTACTAATCTATTAATTCCTCTCTATCCCATTTCCCCTTTTTCTGTTTAAGCCAATTCATGAACAAACTGAGGCCCGGGGGTCGGATCAGACCCAACTGCCTTCTATATCCAGCCTGTGGACGGTCCAGGAATCAGCGTATTTTTACATGAGTAGAATGTGTCCTTTTATTTAAACTGCATCTCTGGGTTATTTGTGGGGCATAGGAATTCGTTCATTTTTTCCCTCCAAAATATAGTCTGCCCCCCCCCCACAACATCTGAGGGACAGTGGACCGACCCCCTGCTGAAAAGGTTTGCTGACCCCTGCTCCAAAGAATCATGGGAATCAGTTTGTTGAGTGCAGGGAAAGCTTCCTGATTTGGGGTTTTTTGTCCCCCTCATGCACCTTCATCCTACAGCCCTGGGATCCCCCTTCTCCCCAAGGCACCTCAAGAGGGGAGAGAGAGGAGACTGCAAATCCCAGAAGGGGCACATAGGCAGCTATGGGCAAAGGAGAGAGACGAAAGCAACCCCTCCCCTTTCAAGGGGGGCCTTTTGCTCTGGGGGACCTCCCCCCCTTCTGTCCTCCCTTCTCTAGGGATCCAGCTTAGTTCCTTTTAAACCTTGGGTGACAGAGCGCACCCAGTTCATTCTTTTATGGAGAGCAGGAGCCCACAGAGAGAGGCTTTCTTGGGGGGAGGGTGGGACCCACTTGGCAGGCAGAGAGAGGAGGAGCAGCTTGTAGGGGGAAAGGCTGTGCCACAAGCAAAGGACGGCCTGGTGGGGGCTCTTCTTTCGGAAGGGGGGGTTTCAATGGCATGCCACTTTTTCCCTCCCCAAAGAGGCACAGAGAGGAGGGGGGAGGATGCTCCCTGCCTTGGGTATCCTCCCCCTGCAGCCCTGGGACCCCCCCCTTCTCCCCCAGGCGCCCCAAGGGGAAAGAGAGAGAAGACTCACTGGATCCCAGGAGGGGCCACCGAGGCAGCCTTGGCAGAGGACGGAGGAGGAGGGGCTTCCGCTCTGGAGGACCGGGGACCCCCGCCCCCACTTCCTGGCCTCTCTAGGATTCCAGCTCGGCTCCTGTTAACCCTTGGCGAGCCGAGTGCACAGAGGGCAGAGGAGAATCCGAGGAGCTGCGCATGCTCCCTGCGACCCAGGGCCTTCTCTCGCGGACGCCTCAGAGAAGGAAGCGGGGAAAGGGGGAGGCGGAGGGAGGGCGGGGCAAGGACCAGTGACGAAACAGCCCTGGCCCCGCCCCTCCGCCGGGAAGGCGGCGCCTGCTCTGAGGGAAACGGCTTTTCCCGCCTTTTTCCAACTTCCTGCCTTTCGAAACCTGACCTTCCCCTCAGTTTTAGGCGCCAAGGAGGCCGATTCCTGGCAGACCAGGCGGCAGTTTCCCTGGGCTCCCTCGTTTATCGGGGGATTTCTTTTCATTCTTTGTAATTTCTGTTTATATCTCTTGCTTTTGCAGCTTATATCTGCTTCTTCAGAAAGGCATTTTGCTTTATTAAAAATACCCTTACACCACCGCTTTGCCTGCATGCCATCCAGTATTTAAATCCATTTATTCAAATAGATTTCGAAATAGTCCTTTATAGTGCCACCCTCTTCCTTCTCTCTCTGCTCCTCTGGTGTCACTGAGGAGAAATGAAGAGGCTCCTCCGCCTCAGGCGTTGCATGTGTATCTGTGTGGGAGAGAGAAAACTGGGTGGAAGAAGCGCCCAAGGATCCTGTAGTGGCCCCAGCAGAAGCCATCCACCATGGACTTGGAGCCCTGCAGGTAGTCCTTGTCTCACTTTTGGATGTGGGGCTCCTCCACTGCGAACATGGCCACAATCTTCCCTCGGTCATCAGCGAAATAGAAGAACTCCTGCCAGTCAAAGAAGTACCTGTACAGGTAGCGAACCCACTGCATGCTGTTGGGAGAAGTGGCAACCCTGCTTCATCTGGTATAGGGTGTGTTGGGGGGGGCAGGAGGGGCGTAAAGGAAGGTCAGGTGTGGGAGGGGAGCGGGAACAGGCAGATACCCTTGCTCCCTCCTGCCATCGTGGCAGGACCCCATCTGCCCCCCACCCCAGCTAAGGATCAACAGTCACATCATGCAGGGTTGCCACCTGCCCTGTATAATACGTTGGATGGATCAGAGTCATTTATTCCTAGAAACAACATTGTGTGAAGTTTCCAGAAGATGGGTTATTATAATGGGTTATTATAACAGGTACAAGGAAAACAGAGAAAAAAGTGAAATATTTAGGAGTGTGATGTTGTTGTTTAGTCATTTAGTTGTGTCCGACTCTTCGTGACCTCATGGACCAGAGCACGCCAGGCACTCCTATCTTCCACTGCCTCCCACAGTTTGGTCAAACTCATGCTGGTAGCTCAGAGAACACTGTCTAATCACCTCGTCCTCCATCGTCCCCTTCTCCTTGTGCCCTCCAATTTTCCCAACATCAGGGTCTTTTCGGCAAATAATCCTAATAACTAAAATGATAATGATGTGAAGATTTGGAAAGAAACATAAAAAGAAATAGAAATAGTGATAAGAATGAAACTATTGTGGATGGTGAGAATCTTGGCAATAAAAATGAATGTAATAGTAAATAATTCTGAGACCTGGACTTTTATATCTCACACTCATTTGTCCCCCATGTTGATTTCCCTTACTTGTCTTTGCTTCTATTGGGAAAAACCACCTTGGTGTTTTGTTTTCAGGCTCACCCAGATTCAATGAAACACGGGCACATAACCTTTCAATGACTGCAAAATTCCCTCCCTTGTCTCCCCATTGTTTGGGGGTGTGCAAGATTTACAGCCTATCATGACCACCTAATTAAAATAGTAAATTCTCCACCATGTTGACATTTCCCATTCCCATGAATTCATCGACCTTCTCTCATACAGTGTAACCTTGGTTTCCAAACTCATTCCATTCCGTGAGTCTGTTAGATTCCTGAAACAGTTCAGGAACCAAGGCGCGGCTTCTGATTGGTTACAGAAGCTTCCTGCAGCCAATCAGAAGATGCGGAAGCCACGCCGCGCATTCATGGCTTCTGATTGGAAGCTCCTGCAGCCAAGCAGAAGCCATGGAAGCAGCACCAAGCATTTGGCTTCCAGAAACTGTTCAAAAACCGGAACAATTACTTCCGGTTTTCATTCATTTGGGAGCTGAAGCGTTCGGCTCCCAAGGCATACAGGAGCTGAGGTTCCACCGTATCTGTGAATTCCCTTTTTGGGTCTTACGTCTTCAACCCTTGACATACTAGTTTTAGCAAGAAAGCCACATCCTGGCCACTTTCAAGACATTAGCTCCCTAGTTCTGTTCTTCTTGCTAACATCTTAACCACAATTTGTTCTAAAGATACAACTTCCCTGTAGGTAGCCTAACCACAAGCTATATTAAAAATATGCTAACTGTTGCAACCTACGCCCTAGCTGTTGCAACCTTATGACCTTTATGAAAAAGCAATAAAAGCATCATTTATTCTGGAAAAGCAATCTGAAAAGCTCCAATTATCATTCCTTACATGGGATAACTACAATGATCTGCTAAGACATTTGAGGGAGAAACAAAAATGTAAAAATTAAGAAATTTTTGTATTGGACTGGCCAAGCTATCATCAGATTTGTTTAATAATAATTTTTATTAGTTATCAGTTACACTGTCGCTTAATCACCCTTTAAATAGGAGAAGATAAATAATTGTATTCTATAGAACAAAAAAGCCTGTCCTGTTTGTTTTTAGGTTTCGGTACCAACCAATCCTGCCTAGTTCTTTTAGCCCTTTCAAAGGCTGTTTGACTTAACTCCTGCGGATAGCCTCTATCTCTTAATGAAGAGGAATGACTATTGGAAGAATGCTATCTCGCAACTGCTCCTACGTTTATGGTTTTGTGCTTCCAGTGAATGACTATCTGCAGAACGATTTGTTTGCTCCAGCTGTGTAATGTAATACTTACCGCATACACAACCGATATAGTAAAGAGAGACATTAGTTCATTCTATGTTTATGAGTATCTCCAGGCTTGGTTATGCACATTGCACTTTAGTTTGCTTTTTGTTTAGTAGGTTTATGAGTTTATATACCTATTCTAGTAAAATTGTCCTTTATATTTGTATTCATAAGCCAGCTTTGGTGTTGTTGATTTGTTGTATAATTGATGATTTTCTTTACTTCGGCATTCCGAAATCTTACAAATTTCAATTACATTACAGTCATAATAATAATCCCTTATACAACAACTGTAATATTAATAACTTCTGTTTGTGTTGACACATTAAATGATTTATAAGACTACAAATGAAGGATTCAAACTACCTCCTTGTTCTGGCAATTATCCAGTGTGGGGTGCCACAGGGTTGTGTCTTGGGCCCGGTCTTATTCAACATCTTTATCAACGACTTGGATGATGGACTCAAGGGCATCCTGATCAAATTTGCAGATGACACCAAACTGGGAGGGGTGGCTAACACCCCAGAGGACAGGATCACACTTCAAAACGACCTTGATAGATTAGAGAACTGGGCCAAAACAAACAAGATGAATTTTAACAGGGAGAAATGTAAAGTATTGCACTTGGGCAAAAAAATTGAGAGGCACAAATACAAGATGGGTGACACCTGGCTTGAGAGCAGTACATGTGAAAAGGATCTAGGAGTCGTGGTTGACCACAAACTTGACATGAGCCAACAGTGTGACGCGGCAGCTAAAAAAGCCAATGCAATTCTGGGCTGCATCAATAGGAATATAGCATCTAAATCAAGGGAAGTAATAGTGCCACTGTATTCTGCTCTGGTCAGACCTCACCTGGAGTACTGTGTCCAGTTCTGGGAACCACAGTTCAAGAAGGACACTGACAAACTGGAACGTGTCCAGAGGAGGGCAACCAAAATGGTCCAAGGCCTGGAAACGATGCCTTATGAGGAACGGCTAAGGGAGCTGGGCATGTTTAGCCTGGAGAAGAGGAGGTTAAGGGGTGATATGATAGCCATGTTCAAATATATAAAAGGATGTCACATAGAGGAGGGAGAAAGGTTGTTTTCTGCTGCTCCAGAGAAGCGGACACGGAGCAATGGATCCAAACTACAAGAAGATTCCACCTAAACATTAGGAAGAACTTCCTGACAGTAAGAGCTGTTTGTCAGTGGAATTTGCTGCCAAGGAGTGTGGAGTAGTCTCCTTCTTTGGAGGTCTTTAAGCAGAGGCGTGACAACCATATGTCAGGAGTGCTCTGATGGTGTTTCCTGCTTGGCAGGGGGTTGGACTCCATGGCCCTTGTGGTCTCTTCCAACTGTATGATTCTATGATTCTATCCTGTCCGTAGTGTTCCTTCCTGTCCTTGTAAAATGTTATGTCTATCTTTTCCCGGTTGTTGCTGTTACCTAAAGTGGTTAGGGAAACCCAGCCAGATGGGCAGGATAAATCATCATCATCAAAAATACCTCATCTGTTGTGATGGACTGACGCTCCATTAACACTGAGGAGGAAAGGGAACAGAGTCACCTGCTCAAGGAATATATGCCAGACACTGACAAAAATGTCTCCGGTCAAGATCTGGTGCTCACTCCACAAGCTTACTGCTGTTCCCAACAGCCTTTGATGTATAATACACAGATAATTCTTTCTCCCTCGGGGACGCAATTCTTTGCTCCTGGCATGCACTCAGGAAATGGTGTGAAGGATCGAAGGAGAAGAGTAGCAAGAGATTTCTAGACCTAGCCTTCCCACAAAGAAAAGCCTGAATTCAACATCTTGGCCATTGACTTCCACACTGCAGATCTGGATACGTATTTGAAGAATATTGGGCACCGGGTTAGCACTCGATAGCTTTGAGAGGCAGGGCTGACTTCTCTGCTGAGCTGAAGAAGCACAAGAACACTGTTGGAATAGAAATTAAAGTTTCCTGAAATAAAATTACTACAAAGCAATTGCTATGGTTTCTCCCCACTGTGAGTTCTTTGATGGGAAGTGAATTTGTAGCTGTGACTGAAGCTCTTTCCACATTCCTGGCACTGATAGGGTTTCTCCCCTGTATGACTTCTTTGATGGGAAGTGAGAGAGTCACTCCGACTGAAGGTCTTTCCACATTCCAAGCACTGATAGCGTTTCTCCGCTGTATGAATTGTTTGATGGGAAGCAAGATTGCTACTCCGACTGAAGCTCTTTCCACATTCCAAGCACTGATAGGGTTTCTCCCCTGTATGACTTCTTTGATGGGAAGTGAGAGAGTCACTCCGACTGAAGGTCTTTCCACATTCCTGGCACTGATAGGGTTTCTCCCCACTATGAATTCTTTGATGGGAAGTGAGAGAGTTGCTCTGACTGAAGCTCTTTCCACATTCCAAGCACTGATAGCGTTTCTCCCCTGTATGAATTGTTTGATGGGAAGCAAGATTGCTACTCCGACTGAAGCTCTTTCCACATTCCTGGCACTGATAGGGTTTCTCCCCTGTATGAATTCTTTGATGGGAAGTGAGATGGGTGCTCTGACTGAAGTTCTTTCCACATTCGAAGCACTGATAGGGTTTCTCCCCTGTATGACTTCTTTGATGGGAAGTGAGAGAGGCGCTCTGACTGAAGCTCTTTCCACATTCCTGGCACTGATAGGGTTTCTCCCCACTATGAATTCTTTGATGGGAAGTGAGAGAGTTGCTCTGACTGAAGCTCTTTCCACATTCCAAGCACTGATAGCGTTTCTCCCCTGTATGAATTGTTTGATGGGAAGCAAGATTGCTACTCCGACTGAAGCTCTTTCCACATTCCAAGCACTGATAGGGTTTCTCCCCTGTATGACTTCTTTGATGGGAAGTGAGAGAGTCGCTCCGACTAAAGGTCTTTCCACATTCTAAGCACTGATAGCGTTTCTCTTCTGTATGACTTCTTTGATGGGAAGTGAGATTGCTGCTCTGACTGAAGCTCTTTCCACATTCCAAGCACTGATAGGGTTTCTCCCCTGTATGACTTCTTTGATGGGAAGTGAGAGAGTCACTCCGACTGAAGGTCTTTCCACATTCCAAGCACTGATAGGGTTTCTCCCCTGTATGACTTCTTTGATGGGAAGTGAGAGAGTCGCTCCGACTAAAGGTCTTTCCACATTCTAAGCACTGATAGCGTTTCTCTCCTGTATGACTTCTTTGATGGGAAGTGAGTTCACCACTCTGACGAAAGCTCTTTCCACATTCCAAGCACTGATAGGGTTTCTCCCCTGTATGAATTCTGTGATGGGAAGTGAGAGAGTCGCTCCGACTAAAGGTCTTTCCACATTCCAAGCACTGATAGGGTTTCTCCCCTGTATGAATTCTTTGATGGGAAGTGAGATGGGTGCTCTGACTGAAGTTCTTTCCACATTCGAAGCACTGATAGGGTTTCTCCCTTGTATGACTTCTTTGATGGGAAGTGAGAGAGTCCCTCCGACTGAAGGTCTTTCCACATTCGTAACATGGATAGGGTTTATTCCCAATGGGATTTCTTTGATGAGAAGTGGACTGGGACCTCTGACTAAAGCTCTCTTCACACTTTGAGTATTTATATTGCTTCTCCACTGTGTGGATTCTGTATTGCTTCCACTTGTTATTAATTTCCATTTCATCACCACCTGCAATTATAAAACCGATTACAGTGGTACCTTGGTTCTCAAACTTAAACTGTTCTTGAATTGTATCCCAAAACCAAAGCGAGCTTTCCCATAGAAAGTACAGTGGTACCTCGAGTTACAAATGCATCAGGTTACAAATGCTTCAGGTAACAAACTCCGCTAACCTGGAAGTAGTTTCCTTGACTTTAGAACTTTGACCCAGGATGAGAATGGGAATTGTGTGCCAGCGGCGTGGCGGCAGCGGGAGGTCCCATTAGCGAAAGCATGCCTCAGGTTAAGAAAGGACCTCCGGAACAAATTAAGTTCGTAACTAGAGGTACCACTGTAATGTGAAATGGATTAATCCGTTCCAGACAATTAAAAACAACCCATAAAACAGCAGTTTAACATGAATTTTACTCTCTAATGAGACTGTTGATCCATAAAATGAAAGCAACCAGGGTGCCATCTACTTCCCAGTATCAAAAACTGGCAGTGATCTACCCATTGCCATTGGAGGGACAGGGGTGGAAGAGGGGAGTTTAAGGGGGGGACTCAAACTGGAGGGACTAGGGGTGCATGTGGGGAAGGAGGTGGCTAGCTGGATGCGGGAGGGGGTTTAAGTGGGGGGAACGGAAAACACTCAAACTGGAGGGAAGAGGAGTGCACGTAGGATGCGTGTGGGGAAGGATGTGGCTAACTGGATGCGGGGGGGGGGGAGGAGTTTAAGTGGGAGGAAGGAAAGGGAGGGAAAAGTTCTCTCTCCCCAAAGCAGCTCTCTCGCTTGCTTGCTCTCCCCTCTGCATGTTTTCCAGCATCTGCCCATGCTCCCCATTCACCTGGGCGAGTCCCAGGGCTTCTGTCTCCACTTTGGGCAGCATGTCAAAGCGGCAGCCTTGGGCCAGCCAGGGCGGTACTGCCTGCACATCCCTGGCGTGATGGAACAGGAATGCAGCAGCAGCACCAGAGCGCAGAGAGGAGGCGGCAGCTGCTGCTCTCCTAGCTGCCAGATGCTGAGTCAGGTGGGCTGGAGCCTGCGCACAGTGCGAGCGCCCCTATCTCCTGCTCGGGAATGTAGCACCCACGCTGCTTTGCCTGGATCTTGCTTGGGGTCGGGCTTGGGACGAGGGGAGGGAGGGAAGGCAAAGGGATGGGAAGGTCAACCTGCCCAGCATAGTGCCCCCACCACTGGGGGAGAGTCGCCAACTTCCAAGTCTCCCTACTCCGGAGTCACTTACATTCTGAGGAGCCACCCAACTCCACTTTGTAGCAAGGAAAGAGGCGCTTCCCATCAGAGGGAAGGGAAGGGAAGGTAGTGGTGGCAGTCACTGCTGGGACAAGCTGCTCGCTCAAAACAGAAGTGTGCACTCAAATTGGAGCACGTTCGGCTTCCGAAAAGGGTTCAAAAACTGGAACACTCATTTCTGGGTTTGAAGTGTTCGGGTTCCAAGTAGTTTGAGAACTAAGCTGTTTGAAAACCGAGGTACCACTGCATTTTAAAATATTAATATCTTATTGAAATATATTTTGTTCATAAAGATGTAACACAAGAGAAAGGAATAAAAAAGGGAAAGAGTGTGTGGAAGAACGATTTTTAAAAAAGGGAAAAAAATTGTGGAACAAATGCAGTGTAATAAAAATAAATTTCCCTTTTATATCATATAGATGTTAAGTGGTATTGTTACACTAATATCCAGTTGTCCCTTGGTTCTCGAACGGTTCTGTTCGACTCCCAGAAATGATCAAAATCCAAGGCGCTGCTTCCAATTGACTTAGCTTCCTGTACTCAATTGGAAGCTGCGCTGACCATTTGACTTCCGAAAATCGTTCGAAAACCGGAACACTCATTTTGAATTTTCAATCATTTGGGAGCCAAAGCATACACGTACCAAGGCATTCAAGTTCCAAGGTATGACTGTATATATAGAGAGAAACTAATTAGAGCCCCAGGAAGAACGACCGTTCACAATTGTTGATTATTGAACATCGCTAATGAACAGTTGTGAAATAAGAAGAAATGAAGGGGATTAGATGGGAATTCTTACTACAGAGTTAACTGCCTTTGTTGGCTGGTATTAGCTGACATACTTACGGGAACCTGAGATTCAATTAATTTTGTTTGGCCCAATCACGAAATCTGCTCTGTCTCCATTGACTGACAGATATTCGCAGACAACACCGCCAATCACCCTGCATTCCAAATGATTTCTGGGGGCATTAGATTTCCAGGTGGTGTAGGTGGCGCTACTGAGTTCCATCCAAACCTTGGAGACTCATCGCAAGGAGAAATTTATGGAATTTCAAAACAGATATGATGATCCTCAGAGAATCTTACCCAGAGAATCCAGGAGTCCATGATTCTCCTCCATGACCTCCTTATACAGAGCTCTCTGGTCAGGATCCAGCAATGCCCACTCCTTGTCCGTGAAATTAACAGCGACATCCTCAAAGCACACCAGACCCTAAAAGAAAAAGGGAAATGTCCTCCTCTTAGACAGCATAAAGATGATCTACCACACATTGCTCCGTTGTTTTCTGCCTGTTAATTGCTGTGTTGTTTAAATGGGATTGTTTTGCTCCACATGGTATGAATGCTTATTTTAACATCTTGCTGGAATTACTTTATTATTTTAATGATGGGTCCTAATCTTTGTGTAAATGGGTGGAACTCCACATTTTTTCTTCCAAGCATTCTGGCTGCCCCACCCCTCGCCCTCTCTCCCTACAAGTCTCATGCCCCCTACCTGATCTGCTTCTATAGCCGCTGCTTCCCCTTCTCCACCATGAAAAGACGCACGAGGTCTTGCTGGCATCATCCGGTCACCTGCCAGAGACAAAGGGAAGTGGGAAGCCATGAATGCCTGCTTTTCTCCGATGTTCAGGACTGCATCTCTAATTTCAGATGGACTTTTGAAGAAGTCTATCCTACTGAGACATTTGTACAACTTCATCTTTTAGTTGTGCAAAAATACATCTCTGCTCCTTTGGGCTCTTGGGCCCAACCACATCCCCATAAAAGAGGAAAAGAACCCACGGAATCGAATCCCTAGGATGTGACCAAAGAGAGAAATAACACTCTCCTTACCCAGTGGTCTCTCTCTGGTTTCCATCGGAGTCCTCCTTGCCTCTGAGGAATCGGGACCCATTTCTGCCATCAGATCCTTTCCCTGAAAGAGCAACAAAGATTCAAAAGAGATAATTGGGAGGAGGATTAGAAAAGTAACGGAAGAGGCAAACACTCTAGGGGTACCAGATCGCATTGCTAGGATCCGATCCATAAAGGGATGGGACATTAGTACCACATTTTGGGATACTCTTGCTCTGGTTTGGAGCCCCTTGGGAGTTTCCAGAGGAAAGTCTCTCTCACCTGCTGCTCTGCCTGCTTCCTCTCCTCTGCCTGACTCAAGAGGAAACCTTCGGCGAGGGCCACTGCCTGGGAACTGGTCTCCGCTCCACATTCCATCATCCAGCTCTCTATCTCGGGTGGAAGGACAGCCAGGAACTGCTGCAAGATCACCATGTCCAGCATCTCAGCTTTCGTGTTCCTTTCTGGCTTCAGCCACTGACAGACAAGGTGGTAGATTTGGCTGCATACCTCTCGGGGTCCTTTGGCCTCCTGGTAGAACTGCTTGAGCTGCTGGCTCTGAACATCTGAGCGGAGGGTGTCCTCCTCACATAGGATCTTCCGCATAGCGTTTTCCCAGAATCCCTCAGTGCTCCCATCTTCAGTGGCCGGGCCTATTCCTGCTTTAGGTCCAGCCGAGTCTTGCTCATCCATCTGTGCTCTCAGGAAGCTTCCAAGAGATGAGAAGGAGTCCCTTTTTTCTTCTGCAAAGTTCTTCCCGTCCGAATTAGAGGTGCTGGCAAACCCTACAAAGCAAATGCATTGTTCTGTTATAAAATTGGCACTCTGTCAAGATCAGAAAAATGTCCCCAGACAAACGTGGATGGCTTTTGCTAGCAATCAAGGCTGCACTTCAGACTCTGAACATATTGTGGTTGTAAGTTGTTTTAAGCTGTTTTTAAACTCCACGAGAGAAAAATAAAGACTCGGGGGGAGAGACACCATCAGAATTTGTCTTAATCTGGCTGGTCTAAATTTAAATATAAGCAGAAGTTACTATCTCTTGGGTAGGGGGACACACACCATCAGAATTTGGCTCAGTCTGGCTGGTCTAAATTTAAATTTCAGCGCAGTACTGTGGGACCTCGACTTACAAACACGTCAGGTTACAAACGATTCAGGTTACAAACTCCGCTAACCTGGAAGAATTACCTTGAGTTGAGAACTCTGCCCCAAGTTGAGAACGGAAATCGTGTGCCGGTAGCGAAAGCATGTCTCAGGTTAATAACAGTTTCAGGTTAAGAATGGACCTCCGGAACGAATTACAGTGGTACCTCGGGTTACATACGCTTCAAGTTACAGACTCCACTAACCCAGAAATAGTAATTTGGGTTAAGAACTTTGCTTCAGCATGAGAACAGAAATCGTGCTCTGGCGGCGCAGCGTCAGCGGGAGGCCTCATTAGCTAAAGTGGTGCTTCAGGTTAAGAACAGTTTCAGGTTAAGAACAGACCTCCAGAACAAATTAAGTTCTTAACCCAAAGTACCACTGTAATAGTAATACATAATTATTACTATGACTATTACTATTACTACTACTACTACTACTTCTGTTATGCCGCCCATCTGACTGGGTTGCCCCAGCTACTCTGAGCAGCTTCCAATAAGATGAACATCAAACACAGTAAGGCATCAAAGAGTAAAAACTTTTCTTCATCAATACAGCAATTATTCTCCTCGCTTTGAACCTCACCCCCACCCCCGAATTCATCAACAGACCAAGATTTTCCGCTGTTTCATTGGTAGCAGAAGAGGAAAAATAACTCTTACTTACACTTAATCTAAGCACAACCAAAAGGCCTCTTGACTAGGTGTTTGGCTATACGATGTGAACTGCTAACCTGTTAATTCTTCTCTATCCTGTTTCCCTTTCTTCTGTTTAAGACAATTCACGAACCCAGAACTCAATAGAATGACCACTAATAACAGAACATGTCACATATATCCCTGCACATTTACAGAGGACCCTCTGGATACGAATGTAATTTGTTCCGGGGGTCCGTACGTACCGCAAAAACTCTGCAAGTAGAGGCACTGCTTCTGTGCATGTACATAAAGCACTTTGCGCATGCAGCAAATCCCGGGAGAATACACTTCCGGAGTTGCCATGTTCGCAACCTGAAAAAAAGGAAACGTAGCCCGAGAGTCCACTGTATTACGGTATTTTGCGATATCGATGAAGAAATCTTCACCCAACTTGGGCACATACCCATGACCAAGCAACCCCCCTCCCCTTTCATGGCGTTTGCTCTGGGGGACCTTCCTCCCCAAGTCTTTCTTTCCTCTCATCCCTAGGAATCCAGTTGAGTTCCTTTTAACTCTATGGAGAGCAGGAGCCCACAGAGAGAGGCTTTCTTCTGGGGAGGGTGGGACCTCCTTGGCAGGCAGAGGAGCAGCTTGTAGGGGTTAAAGGCTGTGTCAGAAGCAAGGGGAAGGGGGTTCAATGGCATGCCACTTGTTCCCTCCCCAAAGGGGCAAAGGAAGGAGGGGGGAGGATGCTCCCTGCCTTGGGTATCCTCCCCCTGCAGCCCTGGGACCCCCCTTCTCCCCCCGGGCGCCCCAAGGGGAAAGAGAGAGGAGACTCACTGGATCCCAGGAGGGGCCACCGAGGCAGCCTTGGCAGAGGACGGAGGAGGAGGGGCTTCCGCTCTGGAGGACCTGAGACCCCCGCCCCCACTTCCTGGCCTCTCTAGGATTCCAGCTCGGCTCCTGTTAACCCTTGGCAAGCCGAGCGCACAGAGGGCAGAGGAGGCTCTGAGCAGCTGCGCATGCTCCCTGCCGGCGACCCGGACGCCTCAGAGCACGAAACGGGGAAAGGGAGAGGCGGAGGGAGGGCGGGGCAAGGACCAGTGACGAAACAGCCCTGGCCCCGCCCCTCCGCCGGGAAGGCGGCGGTGGCTGCTCTGAGGGAAACGGCTTTTCCCGCCTTCCCGCCCCTGACCTTCCCCTCAGTTTTAGGCGCCAAGGAGGCCGATTCCTGGCAGACCAGGTGGCAGTTTCCCTGGGCTCCCTCGTTTATCGGGGGATTTCTTTTCATTCTGCGTGATTTCTGTTCATATCTCTTGCTTTTGGAGCTTCTATCTGCTTCTTTAGAAAGGCATTTTCCTTTATTAAAAAAGTCCCTTTCACCAAGTTTTGCCTGCATGCCATTAAGTATTTAAATCCATTTATTCAAATGGATTTCGAAATAGTCCTTTATAGTGCCATCCCTCCCCCCCACTCCTCCTCCGCTGCTACTGAGGAGAAATGAAGAGGCTCATCTGCCTCAGGCGTTGCACTTGTGTCTGTCTGTCTGTGTGTGAGAGAGAAAACGGGTGCAAGAAGGGCCCAAGGATCCTGTAGTGGCCCCAGCAGAAGCCATCCACCATGGCCTTGAAGCCTTGCAGGTAGTCCTTGTCCCACTTTTGGATGTGGGGCTCCTCCTCCGGGAACATGGCCACAATCTTCCCTCGGTCGTCAGCAAAATAGAAGAGCTCCTGCCAGTCAAAGAAGTACCTGTACAGGTAGCGAACCCACTGCATGCTGTTGGGAGAAGTGGCAACCCTGCTTCATCTGGTATAGGGTGTGTTGGGGGGGCAGGAGGGGCGTAAAGGGAGGTCAGGTGTGGGAGGGGAGCGGGAACAGGCAGATACCCTTGCTCCCTCCTGCCATCGTGGCAGCACCCCATCTGCCCCCCACTCCAGCTAAGGATCAAGTCACATCATGCAGGGTTGCCACCTGCCCTGTATAATACGTTGGATGGATCAGAGTCATTTATTCCTAGAAACAACATTGTGTGAAGTTTCCAGAAGATGGGTTATTATAATGGGTTATTATAACAGGTACAAGGAAAATAGAGAAAAAAGTGAAATATTTAGGAGTGTGATGTTGTTGTTGTTTAGTCATTTAGTTGTGTCCGACTCTTCGTGACCCCATGGACCAGAGCACGCCAGGCACTCGTATCTTCCACTGCCTCCCACAGTTTGGTCAAACTCATGCTGGTAGCTCAGAAGAACAGTGTCTAATCACCTCGTCCTCCATCGTCCCCTTCTCCTTGTGCCCTCCAATTTTCCCAACATCAGGGTCTTTTCAGCAAATAATCCTAATAACTAAAATGATAATGATGCGAAGATTTGGAAAGAAATATAAAAAGAAATAGAAATAGTGATAAGAATGAAACTATTGTGGATGGTGAGAATCTTGGCAATAAAAATGAATGTAATAATAAATAATTTTGAGACCTGGACTTTTATATCTCACACTCATTTGTCCCCCATGTTGATTTCCCTTACTTGTCTTTGCTTCTATTGGGAAAAACAACCTTGGTGTTTTGTTTTCAGGCTCACCCAGATTCAATGAAGCACTGCCATATATCCTTACAATGACTGCAAAATTCCCTCCCTTGTCTCCCCATTGTTTGGGGGTGTGCAAGATTTACAGCCTATCATGACCACCTAATTAAAATAGTAAATTCTCCACCACTGTTGACATTTCCCATTCCCATGAATTCATCGACCTTCTCTCCTACAGTGTAACCTTGGTTTCCAAACTCATTCCATTCCGTGAGTCTGTTAGATTCCTGAAACAGTTCAGGAACCAAGGCGCGGCTTCTGATTGGTTACAGAAGCTTCCTGCAGCCAATCAGAAGATGCGGAAGCCACGCCGCGCATTCATGGCTTCTGATTGGAAGCTCCTGCAGCCAAGCAGAAGCCATGGAAGCAGCACCAAGCATTTTCTTCCAGAAACTGTTCAAAAACCGGAACAATTACTTCCGGTTTTCATTCATTTGGGAGCTGAAGCGTTCGGCATACAGGAGCTGAGGTTCCACCGTATTTGTGAATTCCCTTTTTGGGTCTTACCTCTTCAACCCTTGACATACTAGTTTTAGCAAGAAAGCCACATCCTGGCCACTTTCAAGACATTAGCTCCCTAGTTCTGTTCTTCTTGCTAACATCTTAACCACAATTTGTTCTAAAGATACAACTTCCCTGTAGGTAGCCTAGCCACAAGCTATATTAAAAATATGCTAACTGTTGCAACCTACGCCCTAGCTGTTGCAACCTTATGACCTTTATGAAAAAGCAATAAAAGCATCATTTATTCTGGAAAAGCAATCTGAAAAGCTCCAATTATCATTCCTTACATGGGATACCTACAATGATCTGCTAAGACATTTGAGGGAGAAACAAAAATGTAAAAATTAAGAAATTTTTGTATTGGACTGGCCAAGCTATCATCAGATTTGTTTAATAATAATTTTTATTAGTTATCAGTTACACTGTCGCTTAATCACCCTTTAAATAGGAGAAGATAAATAATTGTACTCTATAGAACAAAAAGCCTGTCCTGTTTGTTTTTAGGTTTCGGTACCAACAAATCCTGCCTAGTTCTTTTAGCCCTTTCAAAGGCTGTTTGAATTAACTCCTGCGGATAGCCTCTATCTCTTAATGAAGAGGAATGACTATTGGAAGAACGCTATCTCGCAACTGCTCCTACGTTTATGGTTTTGTGCTTCCAGTGAATGACTATCTGCAGAACGATTTGTTTGCTCCAGCTGTGTAACGTAATACTTACCGCATACACAACCGATATAGTAAAGAGAGACATTAGTTCATTCTATGTTTATGAGTATCTCCAGGCTTGGTTATGCACATTGCACTTTAGTTTGCTTTTTGTTTAGTAGGTTTATGAGTTTATATACCTATTCTAGTAAAATTGTCCTTTATATTTGTATTCATAAGACAGCTTTGGTGTTGTTGGTTTGTTGTATAATTGATGATTTTCTTTACTTCGGCATTCCAAAATCTTATAAATTTCAATTACATTACAGTCATAATAATAATCCCTTATACAACAACTGTAATATTAATAACTTCTGTTTGTGTTGACACATTAAATGATTTATAAGACTACAAATGAAGGATTCAAACTACCTCCTTGTTCTGGCAATTATCCAGTGTGGGGTGCCACAGGGTTGTGTCTTGGGCCTGGTCTTATTCAACATCTTTATCAACGACTTGGATGATGGACTCAAGGGCATCCTGATCAAATTTGCAGATGACACCAAACTGGGAGGGGTGGCTAACACCCCAGAGGACAGGATCACACTTCAAAACGACCTTGATAGATTAGAGAACTGGGCCAAAACAAACAAGATGAATTTTAACAGGGAGAAATGTAAAGTATTGCACTTGGGCAAAAAAATGAGAGGCACACATACCCGATGGGTGACACCTGGCTTGAGAGCAGTACATGTGAAAAGGATCTAGGAGTCGTGGTTGACCACAAACTTGACATGAGCCAACAGTGTGACGCGGCAGCTAAAAAGCCAATGCAATTCTGGGCTGCATCAATAGGAGTATAGCATCTAAATCAAGGGAAGTAATAGTGCCACTGTATTCTGCTCTGGTCAGACCTCACCTGTAGTACTGTGTCCAGTTCTGGGCACCACAGTTCAAGAAGGACACTGACAAACTGGAACGTGTCCAGAGGAGGGCAACCAAAATGGTCCAAGGCCTGGAAACGATGCCTTATGAGGAACGGCTAAGGGAGCTGGGCATGTTTAGCCTGGAGAAGAGGAGGTTAAGGGGTGATATGATAGCCATGTTCAAATATATAAAAGGATGTCACATAGAGGAGGGAGAAAGGTTGTTTTCTGCTGCTCCAGAGAAGCGGACACGGAGCAATGGATCCAAACTACAAGAAGATTCCACCTAAACATTAGGAAGAACTTCCTGACAGTAAGAGCTGTTTGGCAGTGGAATTTGCTGCCAAGGAGTGTGGTGGAGTCTCCTTCTTTGGAGGTCTTTAAGCAGAGGCTTGACAACCATATGTCAGGAGTGCTCTGATGGTGTTTCCTGCTTGGCAGGGGGTTGGACTCGATGGCCCTTGTGGTCTCTTCCAACTCTATGATTCTATGATTCTATCCTGTCCGTAGTGTTCCTTCCTGTCCTTGTAAAATGTTATGTCTATCTTTTCCCGGTTGTTGCTATTACCTAAAGTGGTTAGAGAAACCCAGCCAGATGGGCAGGATAAATCATCATCATCAAAAATACCTCATCTGTTGTGATGGACTGACGCTCCATTAACACTGAGGAGGAAAGGGAACAGAGTCACCTGCTCAAGGAATATATGCCAGACACTGACAAAAATGTCTCCGGTCAAGATCTGGTGCTCACTCCACAAGCTTACTGCTGTTCCCAACAGCCTTTGATGTATAATACACAGATAATTCTTTCTCCCTCGGGGACGCAATTCTTTGCTCCTGGCATGCACTCAGGAAATGGTTTGAAGGATCGAAGGAGAAGAGTAGCAAGAGATTTCTAGACCTAGCCTTCCCACAAAGAAAAGCCTGAATTCAACATCTTGGCCATTGACTTCCACACTGCAGATCTGGATACGTATTTGAAGAATATTGGGCACCGGGTTAGCACTCGATAGCTTTGAGAGGCAGGGCTGACTTCTCTGCTGAGCTGAAGAAGCACAAGAACACTGTTGGGAATAGAAATTAAAGTTTCCTGAAATAAAATTACTACACAGCAATTGCTATGGTTTCTCCCCACTGTGAGTTCTTTGATGGGAAGTGAATTTGTAGCTGTGACTGAAGCTCTTTCCACATTCCTGGCACTGATAGGGTTTCTCCCCTGTATGACTTCTTTGATGGGAAGTGAGAGAGTCATTCCGACTGAAGGTCTTTCCACATTCCAAGCACTGATAGCGTTTCTCCCCTGTATGAATTGTTTGATGGGAAGCAAGATTGCTACTCCGACTGAAGCTCTTTCCACATTCCAAGCACTGATAGGGTTTCTCCCCTGTATGACTTCTTTGATGGGAAGTGAGAGAGCCGTTGTGACTGAAGCTCTTTCCACATTCCTGGCACTGATAGGGTTTCTCCCCACTATGAATTCTTTGATGGGAAGTGAGAGAGTTGCTCTGACTGAAGCTCTTTCCAAATTCCAAGCACTGATAGTGTTTCTCCCCTGTATGAATTGTTTGATGGGAAGCAAGATTGCTACTCCGACTGAAGCTCTTTCCACATTCCAAGCACTGATAGGGTTTCTCCCTGTATGAACTCTTTGATGGAAAGTGAGAGAGTTGCTCTGACTGAAGCTCTTTCCACATTCCAAGCACTGATAGTGTTTCTCCCTGTATGAATTGTTTGATGGGAAGCAAGAGTGCTACTCCGACTGAAGCTCTTTCCACATTCCAAGCACTCAAAAGGCTTCTCCCCTGTATGACTTCTTTGATGGGAAGTGAGAGAGCCGTTGTGACTGAAGCTCTTTCCACATTCCAAGCACTGATAGGGTTTCTCCCCTGTATGACTTCTTTGATGGGAAGTGAGAGAGTTGCTCCGACTAAAGGTCTTTCCACATTCCAAGCACTGATATGGTTTCTCCCCTGTATGAATTATTTGATGGAAAGTGAGATGGGTGCTCTGACTGAAGCTCTTTCCACATTCCAAGCACTGATAGGGTTTCTCCCCTGTATGAACTCTTTGATGGAAAGTGAGAGAGTTGCTCCGACTGAAGCTCTTTCCACGTTCCAAGCACTGATAGGGTTTCTCCCCTGTATGAATTCTTTGATGGGAAGTGAGATGGGTGCTCTGACTGAAGTTCTTTCCACATTCGAAGCACTGATAGGGTTTCTCCCCTGTATGACTTCTTTGATGGGAAGTGAGAGAGTCGCTCCGACTGAAGGTCTTTCCACATTCCAAGCACTGATAGGGTTTCTCCCCTGTATGAGTTCTTTGATGGGAAGTGAGATGGGTGCTCTGGCTGAAGCTCTTCCCACATTCGTAACATGGATAGGGTTTCTCCCCTTTATGAATTCTTTGATGGGAAGTGAGAGAGTTGCTCCGACTGAAGCTCTTTCCACATTCCAAGCACTGATAGGGTTTCTCCCCTGTATGAATTCTTTGATGGGAAGTGAGATGGGTGCTCTGACTGAAGTTCTTTCCACATTCGAAGCACTGATAGGGTTTCTCCCCTTTATGAATTCTTTGACGGGAAGTGAGAGAGTCGCTCCGACTGAAGGTCTTTCCACATTCCAAGCACTGATGGTGTTTCTCCCCATTATGGATTCTTTGATGGGAAGTAAGATTGCTACTATGACTGAAGCTCTTTCCACATTCAAAGCACTGATATGGTTTCTCCCCTGTATGACTTCTTTGATGGGAAGTGAGAGAGTCCCTCCGACTGAAGCTCTTTCCACATTCCAAGCACTGATAGGGTTTCTCCCCTGTATGAATTCTTTGATGGGAAGTGAGATGGGTGCTCTGACTGAAGTTCTTTCCACATTCGAAGCACTGATAGGGTTTCTCCCCTGTATGACTTCTTTGATGGGAAGTGAGAGAGTCGCTCCGACTGAAGGTCTTTCCACATTCCAAGCACTGATAGGGTTTCTCCCCTGTATGAGTTCTTTGATGGGAAGTGAGATGGGTGCTCTGGCTGAAGCTCTTCCCACATTCGTAACATGGATAGGGTTTATTCCCAATGGGATTTCTTTGATGAGAAGTGGACTGGGACCTCTGACTAAAGCTCTCTTCACACTTTGAGTATTTATATTGCTTCTCCACTGTGTGGATTCTGTATTGCTCCCACTTGTTATTAATTTCCATTTCATCACCACCTGCAATTATAAAACCGATTACAGTGGTACCTTGGTTCTCAAACTTAAACTGTTCTGGAATTGTATCCCAAAACCAAAGCGAGCTTTCCCATAGAAAGTACAGTGGTACCTCGAGTTACAAATGCGTCAGGTTACAAATGCTTCAGGTAACAAACTCCGCTAACCTGGAAGTAGTTTCCTTGACTTTAGAACTTTGACCCAGGATGAGAATGGGAATTGTGTGCCAGCGGCGTGGCGGCAGTGGGAGGCCCCATTAGCGAAAGCATGCCTCAGGTTAAGAAAGGACCTCCGGAACAAATTAAGTTCGTAACTAGAGGTACCACTGTAATGCGAAATGGATTAATCCGTTCCAGACAATTAAAAACAACCCATAAAAGAGCAGTTTAACATGAATTTTACTATCTAATGAGACCGTTGATCCATAAAATGAAAGCAACCAGGGTGCCATCTACTACCCAGTATCAAAAACTGGCAGTGATCTACCCATTGCCATTGGAGGGACAGGGGTGGAAGAGGGGAGTTTAAGGGGGGGACTCAAACTGGAGGGACAAGGGGTGCATGTGGGGAAGGAGGTGGCTAGCTGGATGCGGGAGGGGAGTTTAAGTGGGGGGAACGGAAAACACGCAAACTGGGGGGAAGAGGAGTGCACGTAGGATGCGTGTGGGGAAGGATGTGGCTAACTGGATCTGGGGGGGGGAGTTTAAGTGGGAGGAAGGAAAGGGAGGGAAAATTTCTCTCTCCCCAAAGCAGCTCTCTCGCTTGCTTGCTCTCCCCTCTGCATGTTTTCCAGCATCTGCCCATGCTCCCCATTCACCTGGGCGAGTCCCAGGGCTTCTGTCTCCACTTTGGGCAGCATGTCAAATCGGCAGCCTTGGGCCAGCCAGGGCGGTACTGCCTGCACATCCCTGGCGTGATGGAACAGGAATGCAGCAGCAGCACCAGAGCGCAGAGAGGAGGTGGCAGCTGCTGCTCTCCTAGCTGCCAGATGCTGAGTCAGGTGGGCTGGAGCCTGCGCACAGTGCGAGCGCCCCTATCTCCTGCTCGGGAATGTAGCACCCACGCTGCTTTGCCTGGATCTTGCTTGGGGTCGGGCTTGGAACGAGGGGAGGGAGGGAAGGCAAAGGGATGAGAAGGTCAACCTGCCCAGCATAGTTCCCCCACCGCTGGGGGAGAGTCGCCAACTTCCAAGTCTCCCTACTCCGGAGTCACTTACATTCTGAGGAGTCACCCAACTCCACTTTGTAGCAAGGAAAGAGGCGCTTCCAATCAGAGGGAAGGGAAGGGAAGGGAAGGGAAGGGAAGGGAAGGGAAGGGAAGGGAAGGTAGTGGTGGCAGTCACTGCTGGGACAAGCTGCTCGCTCAAAACAGAAGTGTGCACTCAAATTGGAGCACGTTCGGCTTCCGAAAAGGGTTCAAAAACTGGAACACTCATTTCTGGGTTTGAAGTGTTCGGGTTCCAAGTAGTTTGAGAACTAAGCTGTTTGAAAACCGAGGTACCACTGCATTTTAAAATATTAATATCTTACTGAAATATATTTTGTTCATAAAGATGTAATACAAGAGAAAGGAATAAAAAAGGGAA